TTTTATCTTTGTTTACTTTCTCTTCTGAAAGAACCCCCTTCAGCAATTCATATAATTCTGGTTTGGTCTTGAACTCCTTTAGCTTTTTTTTTTTTATTAGTGAAGCTCTTTATCTGACCTTCGATTCTGAGTGATAGCTTTGCTGGATAGATTATCTTTGGCTGTAGGTTCTTACTATTCATCACCTTGAATATTTCTTGCCATTCCCGTCTGGCCTGCATGATTTCTGTTGAGAAGTAAGCTGACAATCGTATAGGTGCTCCTTTATAGGTAACTACCTTCTTTGCTCTTGCTTCTTTTAATATTCTCTCTTTGTCTTTTGCTCTTGGAATTTTAATTATGATGTGTCTTGGTGTGGTCCTCCTTGGATTCCTTTTGTTTGAAGTTCTGTGCGCTTCCTGGACTTGTAAGTCTAATTCTTTCACCAGGTGGGGGAAGTTTTCTGTCACTATTTCTTTCAGTATGTTTTCAATATCTTGCTCTCTCGCATCTTCTGGGACCCCCATAATTCTGATGTTGGTTCGCTTGAAATTGTCCCAGAGGTTTCTTACATTATCTTCAATTTTCTGGATTCTCTTGCCTTCTAGCTTCTGTGGAGGAGTGTCTTCTGGCTCTTTATGTTCCAAATCTTTGACTTGATTCTTGCTATCTTTTCTCTGTTTTTAGGACTCTGTAAAATATTTTTTATTTCAGATAATGTATTCTTTATTTCTTGTTGATCCCTTATTATTTCTTGATGACTCCTTATTAATTCTAGTTGATCTCTTTTCATATCCTCATAGGTCTTATCCATCTTTTCTAGGAAATTCTTGAAAAACCTAATAAGCGTAGATTTGAACTCTATATCCAGATGTTTTTTGTCCTCCATTTCTTTTGTTTGTGATCTATTTTGTTGTCGCATTTCGCAGTTACAGATGGGACGGGGTTTCAGGGTGGAGCCTGCAGCTTTGGCTTCCATCAGCCCCGCCCTATGCGGGTCCTTCAGTGCTCGCTGCCGGCGCCTCTGAGAGAAAGGTGCCCTCGATTTTCGCCTGCTGCCAAACAGTCTATGCTCTTCCCCAGTGAGCCCGGTATTGGGGTTCAGTTCAGTTGGAAGTGGAGTTGGAGGTGGTGTTCAGAGCAGTCCGGAGCCCAATTTCCTTCCTGCCAGGGCAGTTCCACGGCACAGCCAACCGTCCCTTCTCTGCACGCAATGTGCGCGCCTCCGAGACCTCCTTTCGCCTCTCCCCAGAGTTCCGCCTTACAGCCCGGCTCCCTATGGCTGAGTCTGGGTCCCCGGGGTCTGGCCTAGAGCTGGGGTTCAGAGCAGTCGGGGGCCCAGCACAGTCGGAGTTTTATCTCCTTTCTGCCAGGAAACGCCCACCAGGCACTCCGCTTCCCCCTCCTCTCCGGCTCCGTCCTCTCTGCACGTCCCCTCCGTCCTCTCCGTCCTTTCTCCATACCTTGGTCTTTTCCAGCTCCTCCGCACTTCCTTCTGGTTTTCTCCTTGCTTCTCGCTGTAGGATTTCCAGTCAGTCAACTTTCCTGTAGTTCTGGGTAATGTCCGTTTTATATTTTAGTTGTATTCCATTGAAATTGTTGTGTGTGGCTGCGGCTAGGTGTTTACCTGTCAGCCATCTTGGATTCCCTCGACCCGGCTATCAGGATCAGGCTTTCTTAAGGAAAGGAGGAATCCCAACCAAGAGCTCTGACTTACGGATTGTGAGAAATTGACTGGTCAGCCTAATGTAATTAATGACAAACAGCTTCTGGAATGACAGTTCTCCTATTTCTTAGCAATTGTCCTATCAGTTGTTGTGTGTTCGGTTCACCAGACTAGTATTCACAGCTTTTTGTTTTCTCTCTTTCCCTATCCTCCTTATCTCTCTCTCATTACATTAATCTTTTAAATTGTGAAATAAATGCATTATAATCTATATATAAACAGCTCAAATGCAAAGTGTCTGTCCTACCATCGGACTGGTTGCTATGATCTGCACTGACCACCAGGGGACAAATGCTCAACACGAGAGCTGCTGAGCTACAGTGACTTGGCAGTGGCAGTTCTCAGGTGATGTCCCCCAAGACAGAGAGGAGGGAGCCGGATTCCTCACAGGGCCACATGATTCCACCTTCGGCTGTGGGTTATGTTGTTGCTGGGGCACTGTTAGCCTTGGTTTACTGCACACTTGCATTTGTGTTCCACACCCTGTATGACAGGAACTTTGCAGAGTGGCCTCTCACTTTAAGACCCCTTGGGGGATGTCGAAGAGCTGGTTTCAGCCCGATCCCCCGCAGGCCAGTCTGAGGGATCCCACATGCCAGAGGGACCTCACTCCGCAGACACTGGGGAGAGACCACGGGAGGTTGGCTCCAGGGCATGTCCAGCCCATCTTGCCCAGTTTCACCTGCCAACCACTATCTAATTAATTTTCTTTCAAGTTGCATGAATTTGTTCACGGGGTCACTAGTAGTACATAAAAAAAATGCAGCAACTTTTTAAAAGTTTAACTGTAAAGTGAATAGCAGTTAAGTACTATCTAGTCCAAGCATGTCAGACATGCTTGATCTAGTGAAAATATAGAAGATAGTGCCCAACCCACATGCTATGTCCTTTTCTGATTACATTTCCACCCCACCCCTACATTGCTCCTAGAGGTAACCACTTTCCAAACTCTGAAGCCATCACTTCATTTTCCTTATAATTTAAAAACTACACATTCCTAGATAAAACTTGACTTGATTTAAACCTTTATACAAATGGAAAAACACAGTAGCTCTCTCTCTGTGTGTGAGTGTGCTTGTTTTTGCTTTTAGATGGTACTTATTGTGTATTTTATAGTCTGAATATGCTGTAATACACCCATTCTCTTATTGATGAACATTTAAATTGTTTGCAGTTACTATTCTAAAAAGTGCTGTTGTGAACATTCTTATGTAATGGTAAACTTTTCTGGAATGGAATTGCTGGGGTCAACTTCAGTTTTATTACATTTATCTGTTTTGTATATAATTTAAGACTATTCTAAAGAGATTGATTGTGCAATGTTTACTCACACCAGCTATATACGAGACTTTGTGCCATATTTATTATTCATTTATCACTTTTTTTACTTATTTATACTAAAAAAGCTTAGTAGCCCTTGCGCCATGCCCTCATGTCATCATAAGATGGCTGTCCCCATGTTGTCACAAGATGGCCCTTGTCATATCATCACAAGAAGGCCGCCCCCATGTCATTACAAGATGGCAGTCACAACATGGCTGGCAGGGGAAGGCAATAGGGAGTGATTGGGCCAGCATGGGGTGGTTCTGTCTACCTATTAGAGTGTCAGCCTAGGGCAGTTGAGGACAACCAGGGAAGGGTAATTGGGAGCAACTAGGCCTGTAGGGGAGGGCAGTTGGGGGCGACCTGACCGGCAGGGGAGGACAGTTAGAGGTGACTGGGTTGGCAAGTGAGGGCAGTTGGTGGCAACTGGGGCAGTTGAGGGGGACCAGGTGTGTAGGGGAGGGCAGTTGGTGGTGACCAGGCCTGCAGGGGAGGGCTCTTGCAGGGGATCAGGTCTGCAGGGGAGGGCAGTTGGGGGGCAACCAGGGTCTAAACCGGCAGTTAGACATCCCCCGAGGGGTCCCAGATGGAGAGGGTGCAGGCTGGGCTGAGGGACACTCCTCCAGTACACAGATTTTGTGCATTGGGCCTCTAGTTGTTTTATAAGTACTTAGTTGCTGTTATTTTAACTGAAAATCATTTTTGTTTTTACATTTCCATATTAAAGAAATAGTAACAAAACTACTTAAAATTAATGGCTTGCTTTTATGCCATCAGATCTATGTCATGAAATCAATATCTATTTTTGTTATATTAAACGTACTTACATATTTTTAAAGTAAGCTGTATTTAGATTAATATGGGATGACAGTGATTTATATACATTGAGTGATACTTGCCACAACTTTTATTTATTTATATATATATATATTTTTTTTGTTTTTTTTGTTTTTTTTGTTTTGTTTTGTTTTGTTTTGTTTTTTTACAGAGAGGAAGAGAGAGGGATAGAGAGTTAGAAACATCAATGAAAGAGAATCACCGATCAGCTGCCTCTTGCACACCCCCTACTGGGGATGTGCCCACAACCAAGGTATTAATACAAGCCCTTGGCCGGAATCGAACCTGGGTCCTTTCAGTCCTCAGGCTGACACTCTATCCATTGAGCCAAACTGGTTTCGGCACTTGCCACAACTTTTACGATTACTTTTTAATCTAAAATGTCATAGTCATACAAGGTTTTTCTTTTCTCTCTCTCTCTCTCTCTCTCTCTCTCTCTCTCTCTCTCTCTCTCTCTTTCTCTTTCTCTCTCTCTCTTTTGTTTGTTTGTTGATATTCACTTGAAGATATTTTCCCATTGGTTTTTAGAAAAAGTGGAAGGGAGGGAGGGAAAGCGAGAGAAACATTGATGTGAGATACACACATCCATTGATTGCCTCCTGAATGAGCCCAACTGGATGAAGGGATAAAACCTGTAACCCAGTACATGCACTTGACTGGAAATCAAACTTGCAGCCCTTTGGTCATGGGCTGACACTCTAACCATGGAGACACACTGGCCAGGGTGATAGCTATTTAAGTTCTCAATCCTAAATAAATGGTTGTATTTTATAAAATGATCTGTTCTTTAGCAATAATACAATTTTGGGTTCTGTTATATTCATAGGTGTTTTTTTTTTAAATACATTTTTTATTGATTTCAGAGAGGGAGGGAGGGAGGGAGAGAGAGAGAGAAACACATCAATGATGAGAGAGAATCATTGATTGGCTGCTTCCTGCATGCCCCCGACCGGGGATTGAGCCCACAACTTGGGCATGTGCCCTTGACCAGAATTGAACTTGGGACTCTTCAGTTTGCAGCCTAATGCTCTAGCTACTGAACCAAACTGGCTAGGGCTGTTATATAGGTTTTATTTCTAGAAATTTGTGGAATATTTATTAAATAACTCTAATGGGTCTTTATGTTTCTTTAAAGTTGGCCTTTGCCAGAGTTTGATCCAAGCCAAATTCGACTGATTGTATATCAAGACTGTGAAAGAAGAGGAAGAAATGTCTTGTTTGACTCCAGTGTTAAGAGAAAAAATGAGGACATATCAGTATCGGTGAGCATCATTATTGATTTAATATCAAATATTTTAATTGGAAAAAGTGAATAAAATTTTAATTATGGTGCTTTTGTTTGTCAGTATGAAACATCTTGGGCCATGCTTTTTTTTTTTTTTTTAATTCAGAGCCCTTATTTTTAGATTTTTAAAGGAAAAAACACTAGTACCATAGAACATTTTTGTTTGACATTTTTCTTTTAAAAAAAAAATCTTTATTGTTGAAAGTATTACATATATCCTCGTTTTTCTCCATTGCCCTCTCTCCTTTTTCCCCCCAGGCCTTCACCACCCTATTGTCTGTGTCTATGGGTTATGCATCGAGTTCATTGGTTGATGTCTTCCCCTTCCCCTTTTCCCTCTGCATGCTTCTATATCTCTGGGACTATTTTTGTTCATTAGTTTATTTGGCTCATTAGAATACGCATATGAGTGGAAAGTGATATCATGTGATACTTAACTTTCTCTGACTTGCTTATTTCGCTTAGCATAATTCTATCCAGTATGTTCAGTACACATGCTACTCAGATGCTTTTGTTAATAAATAAAATAGTAGTTTGTAATAGTGGATCTGTCAGGCCCACTGATTTTGACTATCAAGTGTATTACAGACTCACTAACTCTTATAATCTTCATAAAGTGACTTAACCTAGATAGACTTCAGGTTTCTCATCAGTAAAGTTGGGTTATAATATCTACCATACTGAGTATTATAAAAAATATACTTAAGGTCTAGCATTTTATGGGTGAGAATAAATAACAAAGTTCTTAAGTTGTGGCCAAGAATATCATTTCTGAAAATACCCATGTTTTTAGTGAGTGTTTAAATGAAATACTATAAATGAAAATATCCAGTGATGTTCCTGATTTCAGAGTAGGCATTTAGTTATGTTAGCCTTGATTTTAACTTTTTTCTAATAACATTTGTAACTACAAGTCAGTAAGCATATGCTAGCTAGTTCTAGATACTATATAGAGCACTTTTTTTTTTTTTTTATGTATTTACTTATGTATAAATATGTAATGAGAGACACACAAACACATACACAACCCTTAAAGTATTACAAATAATCTAGTCATTAGGTAAGGCTTTTCTCCCAATTAAAGAGATAAAGCTTAGAGAGGTCAAGTAACTTATCCAAGGAATCAGGACTTAAATTAAGTCTATTTAGTTTTAAAGCCCTTGTTTTGTTTTACGATGCCTCCTCTTTACATTTTTGGTTAGAGATTATTTGGAATTACTAGATGCTCTCTTTTACAATGCCGTTATTCTTCCAAAAATTGTGATATCAGTCAGATTACTTCTTCTGAAAAACATTTCCGAGGTCTGTTTTATGGAAGAGTGGATGTGCTTGTTACTACGATAAAGCACTGGAATGCTTTTAGGAGTATCACAGACCTTGGTGAGGTGCAACTTTGATGGTTGTGAACAGTAAAAACTCAAGAACCTGTTGGAGAGGGAAAGGAGAAAAGAAAAAGAAATAGAAATACGTTCTCCCTCCATACTAGACTATACAACCTTTTGATCCTAAAGTTAGATTTTATTAAAAATTCAATTGTTCAATACATTTTTATTTCAAAGGTTAAGTTTATATGTATGTATAAATAGTGAAATATACAGCTGTCATTTACATGTTTCCTTCTATCTATCCCTGCATCTCTTCCCAGAAGTATTTTTTCTACAAAATATGTTACTTATGTTCACCTTTAGTGGTTGTATTGTTTGATTTAAAACTATTTTAAAACTTTTTGGGGAAATATGGATATAGCTCACATAAACAAAAGACTTTTGCAATTCTCAGTAATTTCTAAGGGCATAAAGGGTTTTGAGACCAAACAATTTGAAAACTGCTATAGGATATTTATTAAGTAACTAGTAACAAAAATTGTCTAGTCCATAGTAATATAGAAAAATCCCCATATATACACACACACATACACACACACACATATATAAAGCCTAAGTGACTGAACGACCAGTCGACTATTTGCTATGGTACGCACTGACCACCCTGGTGGTCAGTGTTCTCCCAAAACCAGAGTGCCACTCAGCTGACTGACCCGTCCCCACAGCCCACCAGCCACTCACACTCTCAGTAGTCCTACAGGTCCAATCTTCAGAGAATGGGCCAGGCACCTCCTAGAAGTTGGCCTTGGGCACCATGGCCGCTTCCCTTCCCTAGATGCTCCACAAGGAAGAAACAATATAAAAGTAGCCGCCATGTGGCCTCTTGACAACCAGTACAAATGTCAGTGGGACAGATCTGGATCACCATCCAGCAAGGGCATCCCACTGCCTGCCCAGAGGGCCAGTCGCATCCTAGTCCTCGGGACAGGAGTCAGATGCAGGGCTCATGACTGTTGAGTGCCATCATGGCAGCACGAGCCCACTACAGGCCCAGTAGTGCCAGGATAAACAGGAGCAGCAGGCAGTGTTGGACTGTGGTTTTCAGCCCGATTCCCTGCAAGCCACCCTGAGGGACCTCAACCCTGCAGGAATTCATGCACCAGGCCTCTAGTCTATAATAATAAAAACGTAATATGCAAATCGACCAAACAACCAAACAGCAGAACAACTGTCCAGACAATCACACTATGACACTCACTGGTGCCAGGCCAGCCAAGGCGGGTGTGATGTGATTGGTTGGGGGCCAGGCCATCGCCTCATGATCACCCTGCAGAGGGAGGCCCAGGCCACTGGCCAGCAGGGTGATCGGTCGATCAATCAGACGGCTCCATGAATGCCCCAAAGAGGGAGGCCTAAGCCACCGACCAGGGAGCTGTGGCAGGTGAATGGAGCCTCCTTCTGTGGAGGAAAGCCATTGCGGAGCCCTACCCAGGTGGGCAGGGCCTACCTTTTTGGGGTGATCCATTGAGGAGCCCCAGCTGAGTAGGCAGGGCCAATCTCTTTTGGGTGGTTGATTGTGGGGCTCCTGGACTGTGAGAGGACACAGACTGGGCTGAGGGGTTCCCCCACCCCTGAGTGCATGAATTTCGTGCACCAGGCCTCTACTGGTTTAATAATGTTGTTGAGCAAAGTAAGATACAAACTTCTCAAGTAATTATAGTTAATGAAATAAAGAATAGTAAACAGTATTGGAGAGATTACAGTGAAATGCAAATAGTCATTACATTAAAGTTATAATATTTTGAATTATTTCTCTTGGATTTGCAAAAGTTTTTATGCTATAATTAGATTTATGTATGGTTAAAATCAGTTAAAATATAAATGGGGATAATATCTCTAATTTCAGAAACTCTGTAGTGATGCTCAAGTTAAAGTGTTTGGGAAATGCTGCCAACTGAAACCTGGAGGAGACAGTTCTTCCTCTTTGGATAGTTCTATTACCTCATCTTCTTCTGATGTAAAAGAACAGTGTCCTAAGTACCAGGTAAGATCACTGATGTCATTTATTTGTTCATTCATTCATAAATATTTTTGAGTACCTACATTATGTGGTGTATTACTCTTGGGACTGGGGATATAACATGGATTAGTTTTACCCTCCTGAAGCCTTTAGTTGGGGAGGAAGATAATTAAAAAAGTAAGTTTACGTACTTAGATAAATCTTAGGGTAGTGGAAGTACAGAGAACTATAGTTATAGGTAGCAGGGGTATTTTCTTTACCCTTTATTTCCCACTTCATTTTTTTTTGGCTACCAGAATAATTTCTTACTTTATATACTTTTTAATTATTAAAATATGAAGTTAAATATAAAATAATTAAACAGTTCAGCTGTAGTATGAAATTAAAGTATGATTTGAAGTATACACAATTAGAAATGTGCATTCTTTTATTTTTCAAAAGTAATATTACACTTAAAATACAGAATTAGAACTAGCCAATTTGGCTCGGTGGATAGAAAGTCAGCCTGCAGACCGAAGGGTCCCAGGCTCAGTTCTGGTCAAGGGCATGTATTTTGGTTGCAGACTGTTCCCCTTCCTGGGTCCTGATTCGGACTTGTGCAAGAGGTCAATGTGTTTCTATCACATAGATATTTCTCTCTGTCTTCCCCTCTCTCGCCCACTCTCCCTAAAAATTATTGGAAAAATATCCCCGAGTGAGGATTAACAAACAAACAAACAAACAAGCAAACAACAGAATTAAATAAGTAACTACAGGAACTTCTCCATAAACTTGCTATATTTTACGTAAGATCAGTATTTGGTATCATGCTAAGCAAATGTGAATTTATTTGTGTCAGCCTAGCTTGCATGAATGAGTGACAAGTATTTTATATTTAGGGGTACAAAAATAGAATACTGTGCTTTTTAGTTGTTTGTAATTAGATAATTATATTTTTATGGAAACTGGCCCTTATGCCAAATCAATGTGACAGTATTATATGAAGAACTCCGAAGTTATTAAGTTCAGATACTAGGAGGTACTATATAGTCCTCCTGCCCTCCTATATTCCTTCTTCACCTTTAGTAGGATACCTTAACAATTTCCTAATAGTGCCGTACTATAAATACATCTTCATATATATGCTAATTTTGACATTTTCTAATATGACCAATTGTGCATACTTGCCTTTCTGATATAATGCAGTTAAAAATTAATTTTAGCATATGGATTCAAATTATAGAAACCCTGAAGTAGTCAGTGATTGTAACTCATTTTGCACCAAGATCCCTAGAGATTTTCTTTTAATGTATTTTTATTGATTTCAGAGAGGAAGGGAAAGGGAGAGAGAGAAACATAAATGATGACAATCATTGATCGACTGCCTCCTGCACACCCCACACTGAAGATTGTGCCTACCACCTGGGCATATGCCTTGAACTGCCAACCAGGCATATGCCCCTGCCTATTTCTTCTGGTTTATAGGTTGATGCTCAACCACTTAGCCACACTGGCGGAGCGAAATTTTCTTTTTTAATGTACAGATTCCCAGGTCATGCACCCAGATAGTCTGATAGTTTATGGTCCTGGAAATCTGCATTTTTACCAAGAAGGTATTAATTATTATGGAATATAGTTCTACACTTTATAAAATGTGATTTCATGTACTAGAACATTATATAGCAAAACGAGCTTGTCAAAGGCTTTCATTTCTGTCATTAGCCAGAAGCAGTTTAGATTGACAATCAGATATGGCATTGATCTGTAAAAACAACAACCAAACTACTTGATTATTAAAAAGAAAAATTATTCTACCATGCTTCCAAAATTTTGTTCCTAGTACCCATAACTCTGTATCTTGAAATAAAAGTTTTATCTTAGGCTAGGCAAATCAGATTAAAAAAAATGAGCTTTCTGTGTTTATTAAAAAAAAAAAATTGACTACAGCACAGAGAAAGAAAAGGAACAACATAGCCCTCTCCAATTTTGACTCAGTGGCTAGAGCATCGGCTTGCAGACCTAAGGGGCCCGGATTTTATTCTGGTAAAGGTCATGTATCTAGGTTGCAGGCTTGATTCCTGGGCCTGATCAGGGTGCAGGCTTAAGATATCTTTTTAAGAAAGGTGGCAGTCTGGCTAGTGTGGTTCAGTAGTTGAAGTCAGCCCATGAATCAGGAGGTCATGGTTCGATTTCTGGTCAAGGCACATGCCTGGGTTGGAGACTTGGTCCTCAGTAGGGAGTGTCTTAAGAGGCAGCCAGTTGTTACGCATTATTGATGATTCTGTCTCTCTCTCTCTCCCTCTCTCCCTCTCCCTTTTTCCCTCTCTCCCTCTCTCCTCCTCTCCCTCTCTCCCTCTCCCTCTCCCTCTCCCTAACTCTTTCTAAAATCAACAAAAACGTTTGTTGTTGTTGTTGTTGCTTTTAAAGAAGCAAAGTAACAAAAATGCCAGTATATAGATTTTTAAATCCCAAATGGGTAGTAAGTGAGCAGAGTCACAATATAAAAAGAAAAATAATGTCTAGATATATTCCTTGGCTTCCACTTGTAAAGTGGGGGCGGGAGAGGGATTGCTATCACTTTATTATTATTAGAAGAACCTTTTAAGTATTTTTTTAAAACTTCAAATTCTTGATTTTTCTACAATAGAATGGCTTTAGTGAAATTTGTAAATAATCATCATTTATTGTATTATTTATGTCATCTTCCTCATTGTGTTATTATATAAATCAGTTAGGAATTGTGTTGGGACACCCTCTATAACAGTGACTTAAGCAAATTAAGGGTTACTATTTTTAAAAAATATATATTTTATTGATTTTTCACAGAGAGGAAGAGACAGGGATAGAGAGTTAGAAACATCGGTGAGAGAGAGTCATCGATCAGCTGCCTCCTGCACCCCCCCCCCCCCAACACACACACACACACACACACTGGAGATGTGCTCGCAACCAAGGTATATGCCTTTAACCAGAATCAAACCTGAGTTCTTTCAGTCCGCAGGCCGATGCTCTATCCACTGAGCCAAACTGGTTTCGGCAAGGATTATTTTTCTTACATGACAAAAAGTATGGTATACATGGGTTTCAAGGTTACCAAGACTCCCTTAGCTTTCTGCCTATACAGAATTAATGTGAACTTGCTGCCTTCTAGTTCTAATACCGCATCTCCATCTCTAGTGACTTCCATTTATATCTCATTGACCAGGCCTATAATTAGATCTGAAAGCTGCTGCTCTAGCCATTTATTAATAGTTTCACCCATTGTATATAGAAACCAACCTTAAATCTCCTCTTTATAGAGGCAGCTCTGAAATGCATTTGTTTTTTTTCAGGGCATATTCCTGCCCTGAAACAAATAGCACTTCAAAATATAAGGAATAGATATTTGATAGGTGATTAGTGATAATTGCTACAGTATCTAAATAGTAACCAAATGGATGAATTCAATTTTTAGCTGTTTTTCTGACTCCTATGAAGACAGTTAAAGAAAAATGGAAAGAAATAACTTTTTGATCAATTCTTTGAAAATAAGACATGACATTCCAGTGTTTCAAATAAGTCCTTTTAAAAAAATACAAAAAACACAATGACCCCATTTATGAATGCCTATTTTGCACAGTAGGAATGGTAAAAGTTATTCTATAAGTTATATGAATTGCAGTTTTTATTCTCTTGGAGAAATATTGCATATGCATAAGATGTGGTTATTAATGCTCATTTGAGTATTATTTGTAATAGCAAAAATCTAGCAGTGACCTAAGTATCCATCAGTAAAGGGAGCTGACTTGATAAACTTTGATATTTTCATGCAGTAGAATGCTGTTAAAAGAAATCCATGTATAGCGATATGGTTAGATCTATAAGACATTGTAAAATGAAGAAAATCAAGCTGTAGAATAACTTAAAAAACCGTTATGTAGAACTGTAGCAAAGGAATTTTTAATAAAAATTAATATTTTAAATAGTTATAAGGTTTTAAATCTTAAAATTTTACCAATGTTATGGTCATTGTGTAGGGTTCTCGGTGCTCTTCTGATGCCAATATGCTTGGAGAGATGATGTTTGGCTCAGTAGCAATGAGCTACAAAGGATCCACCTTAAAAATTCATCAGATCCGGTAAGGGATTTTCTTCTTAATGAATCCATTTAGAATACTTAATATTTTTAAGATAATTGAATTTTCATATAGTCTTTACTCAGATTGAGCATGTCAGATTACTCAATTTATAATTTTCTGTGGGTTTAGTGCTGCTTCATGGCTGTTGTGACTGATGTGAAATCTGAGTTATACATTTTTCATTTATAATAAATTGAAAAGGTTCTTGTATTCTAGTTTTGATCTCTTTCTGTCCCTTTTTTTTTCTCTAGTTCCCCTCCACAGCTTATGCTTAGCAAAGTTTTTACTGCAAGGACTGGCAGCAGCATCTGTGGGAGTCTTAATACGTAAGTGGTTATAGATTCAGGGAAAAATGAATAATTTAAGATGTGCAAAATATAAAATTAACAGACTGCTCCCTTAAGTTTGAAAGTTTATGGAAGTCAGATTTTCCCTCAAGTTTTTTGAGCTATGACAGACATAAAATATTGTGTAAATTTAAGGTATATACGGTGTTGATTTGATACATTTACATTGCAAAATTGTTACCATCATAGCACTAACACCTTCACCCTATAACATAATTGCATTTACTTTTTTGTGGTAAGAACATTTAAGATGTACTCTGCATGCTCTACAAGGTGATGCAAAAGTAGGTTTTATATTATTAGTATAGAAAATAATACACTAATTAATAAATAATAATATAAGAATAACTTCTATTTCCCATACTCATAACTGTAAATCTACTTTTGCCATACCCTGTAAATGTGTATTTTTTTCTTGGCTCTCAATTCCGTTCCATTGTTCTATATGTCTATTTTTATGCCAGTATCATACGTTGATTATTATAGCTTTGTAGTCTAGTTTGAAATTAGGAAGTATCATGCTTGTAGCTTTGTCCTTCTCAAGATTGCTTTAGGTATTCAGGGTCTTTTGTGGTTCTGTACAACTTTTTAAAAAAATATTTTTTTATTGATTTCAGGGAGAGAGGGATAGAAACAACAATGATGAAAGAGAATCATTGATGGGCTGCCTCCTACATGCCACCCATTAGGGATGGAACCCCACAACCTGGGCATGTGCCCTGACTGGGAATTGAATTATGACGAACTGGTTCATGGGTTGATGCTCAACCACTGAGCTACTATGTAGCTCTATACAAATTTTAAGATTTTTAAAAATTTTATTTCTGTGAAAAATGTCACTGAAATTTTGATAGGGATTGCATTGAATCTATAGATGACTTTGGATAATAGGGACATTTTAACAATATTCATTCTTCTGTTTCATGAACATGGGGTATTTTTCCATTTGTTTGTGTTATCTTCAGTTTCTTTTAACAAAGGCTTGTAGTTTTCATTGTAGAGATCATTTACCTCCTTTCTTAAATTTCTTCCTATTTTATTGTTTTTGATGCTATTATGTTGTTTTTGAAGCAGAGTAATTTTTCAAAATGTTTATTTTATATTCTTTTTTCCACCACCCTTTGTCCCCTTTGTGCCCTCTTCCATCTCCTCCCCTGCAATCATACAATCACCATACTGTTGTCCATGGCCATGACTACATTCTCTTTTTTTTTTTTTTCTTTTTTGCTCAATTCCTCCTCCTCCCAAGCTGTCTGCCTGCCATCTGAGTCTCTCTCTATTTTGATTGGTTGTTCAGTTTGTTCATTAAATTCTACATATGAGTAAAACATTTATTTCTCTGACTGGCTTATTTTATTTACCATAATGTTCTCCAGATCTACCCATGCTGTCACAAAGGGTAAGATTTTCTTCCTTTTTATGGCAGAGTGGTATTCCATTGTGTGAATTTACCACAGTTTTTAAATCTACCCATCTTCTGGTGGACACTTGGTTGCTTCCAAATCCTGGTTACAAATAACACTGCAATGAAAATTGGGGTACATATGTTCCTTTGAATTAGTGTTTAGAGTTTCTTCAGATAAATTCCCAGAAGAAAAATTACAGAATGAATTTTTTATTTCTTGTTCAGATATTTTGCTGTTAGCATACAGAAACAGAACTGTTTTCTGTATATTGGCTGTATCCTACGACTTTACTGAATTTTTTCATTAATTCTATCAGGTTGTTTTTTGTTTTTGTTTTTGTAACCTTGTTAGGATTTTCTATATATAAGATCATATCATCTGCAAACAGTTTTACTTTTTTTCTTCCAGTAGTATACTATATAATAAAGAAGTAATATGCAAATTCGACCACAAAATGGCCACCACCAGGGAGGGCAGTTGGGGCAATCGGGCTGGCTGGGGAGCAGTTAGGTGTTGATCAAGCTGGCAGGGGAGTGGTTATGGGCAATCAGGCAGACAGGCAGGCGAGCAGTTGGAAGCCAGCAGTCCTGGATTATGATGTCTGACTGCCCATTTAGGCTCTATCCCACCTAAATGGGCAGTCAGACATCTCTTGAGGGGTCCCAGATTGGAGAGGGTGCAGGCTGGGCTGAGGGACACACATCCCCGTGCACGAAATTCTTGCACCTGGCCTCTAGTCCTACATAATAAAAAGCTAATATGCAAATTGACCAAAAGGAGGAATGACCCGTTGCTATGACATACACTGACCACCAGTGGGCAGACGCTCAATGCAGGAGCTGCCCTCTGGTGGTCAATGCTCTCCCATCAGGGATGTGCCACTTAGCCAGAAGCCCTGAGTCAGGCGTTATGGCTGGTGAGCTCGGTGGCAGTGGTGGGAGTCTCTTCCACCTCCGTGGCAGCACTAAGGAGTTCCAAGCAGGCCTAAGTTGTCAGTCGGACATTCCCTGAGGGCTCCCTGACTGTGAGAGGGCACAGGCCAGGCTGAGGAACCCCCTCCCTCCCTCTCTCCCTTTCTATCCCCACACCCTCAAGCATAAGAATTTCATACACTGGGCCTCTAGTATTGAATAGGAGTAGTGATAGTAGGCATTCTTGCCTTCGCCTTCAACCTTTCACCTTTGAGAATGATGTTGGGTTTAGGTTTGACACATGCAGCCTTTATTATGTTGAAATATGAAAATTCTATAATTCCTTCGTTGAATGCTTTTTTTAATGAAATGTTGTATTTTGTCAAATGCTTTTTCTGCCCCTACTGTGATTATCATATGGTTTTTACTTTTCATTCTATTAATATGGTGTATCCCATTTATTGCTTTGCATTTGTTGAACCATTCTTGTATCCCAGGGATAAATTCCATGTGATCATGTTGATTGATCCTTTAATGCACTGTTGGATTTGGTTTGCTAATATTTTGTTGAGAATTTTTGCCTCTATTCATCAGGGATATTGGTCTTTACTTGTAGTGTCTTTATCTGGCTTTGGTGTCAAGGTAATTTTGGCCTCATAAAATGAATTTTGGAGTGTTCTCTCCTCTTCAGTTTTTGGAAGAGTTTGAGGATTTGGCATTGATTTATCTTCAAATGTTTGGTAGACTTTGCCAGTGAAATCATCTGATCCTGGGCTTTTCTGTTTTGGGAAGTTTGGATTACCAATTCATCTCCTTATTATTGGTCTATTCAGAGTTTCCATTTCTTTATGATCAGGTCTTAGTAGTTTGTATATTTCTAGGGCTTTATTAGTTTCTTCTAGATTATTCAGTTTGTTGGTGTGTAATTGTTCGTAGTAGTCTCTCATGATCCTTTTTATTTCTTTGATATTAATTATAATATCTTCTATTTCATTTCTGTTTTGATTTATTTTAGACCTGACTCTTTCCAAATTAGTCTAGTGAAAGACTTGTCAACTTTGTGTATCTTCAGAAAACCAGCTCTTAGTTTTATTGATATTTTCTATTATTTTTCTGGTCTCTATTTCCCCTCTGATTTTCATTACTAGCAGGTATTTGAATGCCATTTTTGGTCAATATGTTTTTACTATAGCTTTGATGAGATTCTTCAAGAACTGAACTCTTGTTTCTTTTCATTATACATTGTTTTGCTTAAAATTGCAGAACTTATTGATGTTAAGTGGGTTCTTACTGTGTTTCCTTACTTTTGATAATTTTGGACTGACTTTGTTCTTTCCTAGTTCCTTGAGGTGTACAGCGAGATTATTTATTTGAGATATTTCTTGCTTTTCAATGTAGTCATTGTTTATTTTTATTTTTTGCTGTAAACTTTCCTGTTAGAACTGTTTCTGCAGCATCCCATGTTTTGATATGCTGTACTTTATTATTTGTTTCAAGATATTCCTCGATATTCTTTTTTTCTATGACACATTGGTTGTTTAGGAGCATTTTAAAAAATCTCCACATATTTGTGAATTTTCCAGATTTCGTTCTATTTTTTTTATTTCCAGTTTTCATATACTTATGGTCAGAAAAGATTCTTGGTGTGATTTAGTCTTTTAACATTTTCTGAGACTTGTTTTGTGATTTATCATTTGATCTGTTCTGGAGAATGTCTTATCTGTGCTTGAGAAGAATGTGTTTTTTACTGCTGTTGAATGAAATATTCTGTATGTGTCTTTTAGTATCATTTAAAAGCATGGTTCAAGTCAATATTTCTTGGTGGTTTTCAGTCTGGATGAGCTATCCATTATTGAGAGTAAGATATTGAAATCCTCTATTGTTGCAATGTCTCTTTCTTTCTTTCTTTCTTTCTTTCTTTCTTTCTTTCTTTCTTTCTTTCTTTCTTTCTTTCTTTCTTTCTTTCTTTCTTTCTTTCTTTTTAAAAAATATATTTTATTGATTTTTTACAGAGAGGAAGGGAGAGAGATAGAGAGCTAGAAACATCGATGAGAAACATCGACCAGCTGCCTCTTGTGCACCCCCTATTGGGGATGTGCCCGCAATCAATGTACATGCACTTGACCGGAATCGAACCTGGGACCCTTCAGTCCGCAGACCAACGCTCTACCACTGAGCCAAACCGGCTTCGGCTGTCTATTTTTTTCTTTGGATCGGATTGTATTTGCTTAATATGTTTAGATACTCTGATGTTATGATTGCTATATCTTTTTGATGAATTGACCCCCTTTTTATATGACCATCTTTGTTTCTTTTTACCGTTTTTTGGCTTAAAGTCTATTTTGTTTGATGTATAGCTACCCCTGCTCTGTTTTGGTTTCCACTTGTGTAGAATATCTTTTTCTACCCTATCACCTTGAGCCTGTGTGTTCCTAAAGCTGAAGTGAATCTCTTGTAGGCAGCATATTGTTGGGTCTTGTTTTTTTTTTTACCCATCCAGCCACTCCATGTATGGAGGCCAGATTGCTTCCTCATTTGAGTTTAGTTGAAGAACAGGAAATGTGATTTAGCTTTCTTTAATTTGCTTGGAGCTATATCTGGAAGTAAAATGTTGAATGCATTTCCATGTTATGTTGACATGCTGATTTTCCATTTTGCAAAGCATGTGGAGGTTGTGCTCTTCAGTTTTTAGATCCCCCTGCAGATTAACCCAGCAATTAGGAGTGACCTAGGCCAGTCACATGGTAGGGCACAAGGATATTATAAATTACTAAAGTCCTGGTGCATGAAATTTGTGTACTGGGAGGGAGGGGGTTTCCTCAGCCCAGCCTCTGCCCTCTCGCAATTTGTGATCCCTTGCTCCTTCCTGCTTGGTTTGCTGCTCCTTAGCACTGCCGTGGAGGCAGGAAAGGCTCCCACCACAACTGCTGAGCTCGCCAGCCGTGAGCTTGGCTTTTGGCTGAGCCAGCTTCCCATGGGAGCATACTGACCACCAGGGGACAGTTCCTGCAGTGAGTGTATTCACCCTAGTGGTCAGTGCGCATCATAGCAACCAGTCATTCTGGTCACTCCACCATAATGGTCGTTTAGGCTTTTATTATATTGACTAGATACCAGGTACATGAAATTTGTGAATGGGGGGGTATGGGAAGTGTCTCTCAGCCTAGCCTGCATCCTCTCCAATCTTGGACCCCTTGAGGGATGTCTGACTGCCCTCTCACAATCCAGGACTGCTGGTTCCCAACCACTTGCCTGCCTGCCTGTTTGCCCCTAACCGCTTCTGCCTGCCAGCCTTATCACCCCCTAACCACTTCCCTGCCAACCTGATCGACACCTAATTGCTCCTCTGCTGGCCCGATTGCCCCTAACTGCCTTCCCCAACTGCCTTCCCCTGCTGGCCTGGTCCACTTTAACTGCTCTCCCCTGCAGGCCTGGGTACTCCTAACTGCCCTCTTCTGCTGGCATGGTCTCTCCCAATTGCCTTCCCCTGCAGGCCTGGTCCCTCCCAACTGCTCTTTTTTGCTGGCCTGATTGCCCATAACTGCCCTCCCATACTGCCATTTTGTGGTGGCTATCTTTTGTCCACATGGGGACAGCCATCTTGTATGGTGGAATGATGGTCAATTTGCATATTACCTCTTTTATTATATTAGATTATTGCCAAGATTAGAACAATGAAGCTATTAATAATATCAGGAAAATGGGCTACATGCCAGAACCTATTAATGAAGGACTGGGCTAGCACGAAGCGGTAGTGGACCCCAGGGAGGGATTCTGCAGGTTCCAGATCAGAAACCATTGGAGCACCCAAAGTCAAAAGCAGCAAGAGATAGCAAGAAGCCAACTTTGAATGAGGGAAATTCTTAAAAGCTTCTATTTATTGTCAATACTTTTAAAAGATTTAACTTTTAGGAATGAAAGGGAAATATTTTTTTAATGCTATCATGGATGCCAAAGGTACTAAATTTTAAGAGTTTAATATTAAACTAGAAATTAGTGATCCTACATTGTCATGTCTGACTTTAGCTCTAATTTCCTCAGTTCCTTTATATTTTCTAAGTTCTAATTGATATTTCTTAAAATACCAAAGAAGAATACTTTGGATTAAATGCATAAAGTGATTTAATTTTTTTTTAATTTGAATAATTTATTAAAAAAGGAAATATAGGCCATTTATGATGTGTGGACTAGAGATACTTTTTGGATATTTGGTTGGTTCTCTTTTTTCATTTCCTTTTTTTATTCCTGACACAAGTTTAGAAAATATTTTCAGGGTTAAAATATGAGAGTAAAGTTTGTAATTTAAATCTGGGTCAGCAATATTTTTTTATAGAGGTCCAGATAGTAAATATTTTTATTTTTGTGAGCCAGACAGTATGTTATAATTTCTCAACTCTACAATTGTAGCATTAAAAGAGACATATGCAATGCATATATGAATGCATGTGGCTGTGTTCCATTAAAACTTTATTTACAAATTCAGGCAGCAGGCTGGATTTAGCCCTTAAGATGATTAAAATTATTAGTTTCTTTCTAGTACTAGAAATTTAAAAAGCTAATATTTCAAAAATAAATAAATAAATAAATAAATAAACAAACAAACAAACTAATATTTCATTGGGATATTCTAATAAGGGCCATTAGGAGCATATAATGAATTTGGAATTTATATATTTTTCTTCTTCCCTTTAGGTTGCAAGATAGTCTTGAATTCATCAATCAGGACAATAGTACATTAAAGGCTGACAGTAACACAGTTATTAATGGACTACTTGGAAATATAGGTAAATAAGTGCCTCCTTTGGTTTTGTAAGTTTTAAAAATATTAACACTATAACAGGGATTTGTAGTTTTTTCTTGATAATGTACATCTTTTATAAGACCAAAGAGTTTCAAATATTAGAAGTGGAAAAGGCTTTTAAATTGTAAGTATATATTATATCTTTATTATTTGGAAAATATAAATTTCCTTTATTACAGCATAATGTTTATTTTGTATCTGAAAAGAAAGAATTGATAAAGACCTATCAAATTTGTTTTTAAGTTTGATTCATCTTTGAAAAGCCATCTGAGGAAGCCTGGTTTTAGTTATACTTTCTCCTTTCTCTCTTCCCTAACAATAAAAGTTAATTTTAAATGGTACTCATTTTGACATGTAATTCAAATGAGAAGATATTCAAAGTAGATGTTCTTTAAAAGATTTATTAAAGTAACAACTTGCTTAGTAATTTGGTTAGTTGATTGTTGTAATTATTTAAGTTAAACATTGCAAAGTGACAAACAGTTTAACATTTCTAGTCATTTGCTTTATCCTAGAAAACAATTAAATTGCTGCTGACCATATTTCCAGGGAATAGAGAACTGCAGTATGTCAGAGTAGACAGCAGTTAGAGTATAATTAATATTTCTCTCTTCCCAGATTAGTGATAATTTTTATTTATGATTAATTTAAACAAATATGTATTACTTACGTGACGTGGTAGAAAATGTTTTTTTCTTCCAACTTGAACAATATAATATTCTATTATTTTTTATAACTCATTCAAATGGGCAACCATTTATTAAGCACCCACTGTGGGCTATAGTATCAGACATGCACTTCACAAAGTGTGTATATTTTATAGAAAAATAGAAGTTCTGCTTTTTTCTAACTTGATTATTTTATTGGCTTTTACAAAGTAAAGATGTGACAAGGAAATGACTGAATCTTTTTTCTTTATAATTGACACTTTTCAAAGCTCAAAGGGCTTATTAAAAGTTATATATTTTACTAATATAAATTCATTATTACTTATAAAGGTAATTATACTATATACTAGATAACTCATCTCAGTTATAGAATAGAAAATTTATTTAACAGAGTACAGACTTTAATTACAGAACAGCTTTTATTTGTACATTCTTACTGTGAATCAAGAATATTTAAGCACCATTTCTTATTTTCTTTATATTTTCAATTAATTAACAAATACTTACCAAGTGCCTATTTTATGCCAAGCACTCTGCTAGGCCCTGAGGATATAGTAGTAAACCAGACACAGTGTCTACCTCAGTGGATTTATAGTTAGTGGGAGTCAGCATCAAATGCTCTGTAAGGTAATATAAGATAGTATGGATTGCATTAAGCAACAGGAAGGCTTTTGATGGTGTATGTGACAGTTTCAGAGTTGAGGACAGACGCGGAAGTTAGTCTCTTTTCCAAGATGTGAGTGGTGGTTCTCACATTTTTGGTCTTGGGGTCCCTTTAAACATGTAGAAATTACTGAGGACCACAGAGAGCTTTGTTTATATTGGTTATGTTTGTTGATATATGTTATATTAGAAACTAAACCAGAAAATGTCAAAATATTTATTTAGTAATTCATTAAAAAATGACACTAGTAACCACTTTCATGTTAATAAATAACTGTTTTTAAATAACTATTTTCCAAGACAAAAATAATTTAGTTAGAAGAGGGGCATTGTTTTAATTTTTTTTTTTTTTAAATCTCCTAAATGTCTGGCATACTAGAAGACAGCTAGATTCTCATATCTACTTCTGTATTCAGTCTCCTGTGATAGGTTGTTTTGGTTGAAGTGCATAAAGAAATCCAGAAAAAAAGGCGGGGGAGGGAAAGAGGGAGGATGGGAGGAAGGGAGGAAGAGTGGGAGGGAGAGAGGCAGGCAGGCAGGCAATCCATTCTCATACTGATATGTAGTTGGAATTGGAAGTATTCACCACCTTCTGAAAGTGTTCCAGGGCCCTCCTGGAAGCCTTTAGACCACATTTTAAGACTATGGAACTATAGGATTAGATATATGGTGAGAAGGTAGAAGAGTTTTGATTGTGTTTAAATGTTGATGGAAAAGGAGGAGGATGTTAGAGGATGAGGTGATACTTGGCCAAATAAGAAGATCCTGGCTGATTTAGAAAAGTTAGTTTTGGAAGCGATGTAAGGAAGGACCTTACAGGATTTTTCACTGAATAAGTCCCTAGCACATGGTAAGGTTTGAATAATGTTACCTATTATTACTGCTCAGGCATGAAAGGGGCAAAAATATGTGAGAATTTGATTAAATTTGGAGGTAGGTTGGTAGGAAAAGGTGAGTTCTCATCTGGTGAATTTTGTGTGTGCCTACTGACATATGTCATATGCTGAGACTAAGGAAGAGGCAGGCAGGGGAGGAGTTTAAAGAGAGCAGATACATTTTGAAGGGAGAACTGAAGAAAGCTGAACAATGAAACATGGAAGAATTGTTGTATATGTACTATAATTGTAGAAATTTTTGTTATAGAAAAATATGTTAATAATTTGAAAGATACATTTGTCACTTTTTAGACAGAAAGTTTCCTATTCTATCCTAGGTAGACCTCCTAGATGACTTTTTAAACCATCTAGATTAAGAGTAACAGGTGCCCCATCCTATGAACCTGGAAGTCACAGTTCAATTCCCAGTCAGGGCACATGCCTGAGTTGCAGGATCGATCCCCAATGTTGGTTGTATAGGAGGCAGGATCAGTGATTCTCTCTCATCATTGATGTTTCTGTCTTTTTCTCCCTCCTCTTTCTTCTCTGAAGTTAATTTTTAAAAAATTATATATATATATATATATATATATATATGTATATATATATATATATACACACACACACACACACACACACACATACATACACACACACACACACACACACACACACACACACACACACACAGTAACATAGCTGTTTGCTTCCAGGCTGTAATGCTGCTCTTTTTTGGTTCTTTTAGACTATAATTTTCTCTTGGTCAAGTCTGTAGTTGCCAAGTTTTTTGAACAGCCTGGAGTCTTGCCCTGACTGACAGGCTGTATTAGTGGCCTGCCTCCTTAGTGGTTGATTCCTAGACTAGGAAGTTTGTTTTTTTCCCATTATGTTGTAACTTATTACTAGGTTAGAAAAAACTATTTCTATACTTATTTGTCAATAGATTCCTTTTCTGTATTTGTTCTTTATTGTATGTTGTGTTTTGTTTTCTAAGCCAAGCATTTAGGTGGTTTCTCCTTACTGCCATCGCAGGATAACATTGTCATTTTAAAACTGACTTTTAAAAAGATAAATTTATTTGGCAAGTGCCAACTTATACAGGTAACAATACTGTGCTTTTTTGGCTCTTTAAAAAGATTGTTTAGGTGATGAACACAATGCAATGTACAGATCATGTATCATAGAAATGTACACTTAAAACCTGTATGACCTTATTAACCAATGTCACCCCAAGAAATTAAAAAGATTGTTTTATATTATATTAGAAAGCATTTATATAGAACATTTAAAATAATTTTTACCTTATATAGTAGAAGCTTATTTATTTTTTTATACAAATTTATTTGTAAATTGGCATGAAATTATGTTTGCCATGACCAGAGGGAAAACATCCTGTTTCAGAAAAGTTTAAAAGTTTCTATTCATATATGTTGGTCTGCTTTTGTGCTGCTTTAGCTCACCTTTTATTCCTGATACACTGCAGCTTCTCTAACAGCTCTCTTTCACATGTATTTTACATTTTTGCCATGTAGGTCTTTCACAGTTCTGCAGCCCCAGGCGGGCATTCTCTGAACAGGGTCCGCTCCGCCTGATCAGGAGCGCCTCTTTCTTTGCAGGTTTGCGATGTGCGGTGTGGGTAGACTAGTTGGTGTGATCCAGTGGCTAGAATCTGTAGTTAAGCTGTGGAAACAAGAGAGTAAATAAATATAGAGGGCATAGTTAAGAAAACATTGCTTAGGAAGTGCAAGAACATAATTTATTTCTACTGAATATGTTCTTGAAGTTTCCAGAAACTTTTATCAGTGGAATTGACATTGTTTGAATTTCAGTGTTTGTTACTTCTTACCTCATTATGTAATAATGACTTTAACTTTAGAATTCCAAACCAAAATTTAGTCTAAATATTATAATCCAGTTAGAATTTCTAATGTGATACTATCTTGTTTCCATGGCTGAGTAGCTTTTGTACCATAGTTCACCAATTTTAGAAAATATCATATCTTATTATTATTGTAAAATTTCTGATCTACACTAATTCATAAGAATGATTTTCTTGGAGCTAAGATTTAGATGAACAAGCATCATAATTGTTCAATAGAAGGCATATATGAACATATTTGTTTATGTCATTATAGAGTGAGTGTGTTCATGCTTCAGTATTCAGGAAGTTGTATTCAATTTCTTATTATAATTAATATTTATTTTTCTTAGAAATATGAGATATGAACAGTACATATATTTTATAGGAAATTTGGGAAAATTGATAATCGGCAAAAAATGTTAACCATTTGTCAGTCAGGAACAGTTTTTAAAAACAAGTTGGGATCATACTATTCAAATAGTTTTCTTAAAATTTTTTTTATGCAGGCAGAATAATAGAGTGAACTATCATATGCCCAGCAGTCACAATTCTTACTGTTCAGTAGCTTCCTTTTTATAAAATTTAATACTATATTGTAAATATCTTGCTATGTCATTGAATATGCTTTTAAAATACTTATTTTAGTCATCCTTGCTTTATATATTATAGATTATTTTCATATTACATGTGAGATCATTAGATAGATCTTAAAGCTTGTTCAGCTGAGTAATAGCTCATGGTGTTGGGCTTGTGCCATGCTATTGAAAAGAATAAAGGAATGCAATGAGTGAGCATGATTGGGTTTGCTATTTAAAAGGAACATCGACAGTTTGAATAGCAATATATTTTATAACTGACAGTCTTGTCTTGATTCACAGTTCACAGCAATCCAATGGACATGCCTGGAAGAGAGTTGAATGAGGACAGAGACAGTGGCATAGCACGCTCAGGTAATGCCAGGTTCATGTATTAACTCAGTTTTTTAATAAGATAATTGTTAGCTGACATTGATTTTTTTTTTATCTTTACCTTTATTCTTTAATTTTATGTATACAGCTTGTTATATTGATATTACAAGAGAATTTTAGAAACCGTAGAGAGAATATATTAAATTTAAAATATTTCACTTATATTATTAAATGTACCTGGTAGAACATGGCCTAGATCATGCATGTCAAACTCAAAGGTTAATACGGGTCAAATAAAGAAGGTTTAAGTTTACGTGGGCTGCAAAAAAAAAAAACAACAACACAAAAGCTTTAATTGTCACAGAAAGATAGGTTTATTTCAATAGAGACATGCTGAATACAAAGGGCTGAAATAAATGAGTAATTGTTAATGTAAAATAATAGAACATTCTAATTAAAATTCATATTTTTTCTTGAACATTACTTACCTGACACTGAAAAACTCTGCACAAATTAATGAACGTAACACAAATAAACCTATTTTTATTGTTCTCCAAAAGCAAATATTTTCTGTTGCACATACCAGATAAGTCAGCACAAGACTAATGATATGGCAATTGGATGCTAAAATATTCACTGCTAGTATTAGTGGAGAGAAATAGTGGGCCTGAGTGTAAGGGAAATGAATGCAACACGAATATAGTAATCAGTCATTAGAGAACGTTGCAGTTTGTTATTAATAATTACGTATAACAAGATATTGTAAAAATTAAGTTAAAAAATTTTTATTAAAACATTTCTCACATACTTTGTTGTCTGGGCCCAAAAAATATTTGTTGTGGGCTGTGAGTTTGACATGCGTGGCCTAGATGAATTACATTAGATTAGGCTCTGCCAGTACAAGAAAAAAAGCATCGCTCAAGAGACTGCTTACATAGTATAATAGAAAAACATATTGCTTATATCTGCTTCTTCCTAACTAGAGTTTGAATGGTTAGACTATCTCTTGCCCTGAATAACTCAGCATTTTGAACTAATGTTACACTTTTTTTTTTTAAACAAATGTAGACTCTTCCAAATTTATCTCACAAACTTTTATTGAAACAAAGTGAAACTTAAAAAGAAAATCCCAGATTCTACCTTAAGGAGCAGAGTCTAATGAGAGAACAGTCAGGACAATTATCTGTAATGGTTCATTATGTGATATATTCTGTGTTAGATCCAGATAAAGGAAACCTAACAGCCTGGGCAAGGGACAGAGGGATAATACTTGAGTTATGTCTTGAAAAATAATTAGCTTATCCAGACAAATGCATGGAAGAAAGATATTCCATTTAAAAGGAAACCTGTCTGTCAGGACTCAGAGATCAGTATAAGTGAAAAAAGAAATAATCTTAGGCTTGAGTTATTGTTAGTTTGAGAAACTTTATTCACTGTGGTAATCTATGTGTATCATCACATAAGTCCCTGCTTTCCAAATTGATTGTCCATACTTAACCATATATTGTAATCCCTACATTTTCATTAGAAAAATGAAGTCTCAAAATTTTTTTTCAGATTCCTGAACACTGATTTAGCCTAGAAAAAGTGTTAGGCATTCGTATTTGAGAAACAACATGATAAACTTCAACACCTAATTTTGATGGATAGCTAGAGCTGAGAAACACTAATATGAAGAGTTTACATCTTTCAAATAATCTTTCCTTTCATTTCAAATTCTATATTTTTGTTTTTTGGAACTAATTGAGAGTATATTTTTCTTATTATGCTTGCTTCTATATTATATAGGTTTTCCTTTTGTGCCTGGAATTTATTCTCATTATTTTATCCAGCATTTTAGAGGTGAAAATTTCATATCTCTATACTTCATTTTCTGCAGTTATAATTTGAAAGACCTAGCTAGATTGATCTGCAAGGCTTCTTCAAGCCATGAAATTCACATATGCCATTTAATTGTGTATTTTCTTTTTTTCTAATAGGGTTATTTTTAATGTTAGAATTTAGTAAAACATAGCTTTTCAAAATATAGAGTAGCATTTGTTTTTTTCACTGAACCCATACCTACCTACATTTGTTATCATACCCAGTCTTACTTTAATTTACAAAGTTTTATACTAATTGATAAAATCTGATCTTTCAAGAAAGTAATTTAGAATTAATTCATTGGTGGTTCATATGTTTGCATGGTAGTTAAAGCTTCTCCCCTTTATTATTGAATTTATCAGGGAATTCAGATGAACAAATCTTTATAAGGTCAGTTTCTTAGTTTTCAGTCCTGGTATCTAACATGATATATCATGTGACATGCACCTTTTCATAGATGATAATAATAACTCCCTGTTTAAGATTAGTTTATATATTTTCAGTATGTGGTTATAGTCATGAAGATGGAAATCTAAAAATATTGCCAAATGAAAAGCAAGCCCTTAATGTCTTTTTTTCTGTGGATCAAATGGGAAGGAGGAGATCATTCCTAGCCCAAGGAAAAACAGAGTTGTAGTTTGTTAAACCTATGCAAGAAATAGAACTTTTAGATTGCAGGGAAGGGTTTTAAGAAGAGAATAATTCCCAGTTATGGGATTGTCCTATCTAATAAAAGAATAATATGCAAATTGGCCATGCCCCCACTATGCTCACTAGCCATACTCACCAGCCAATCAGGAATGAGTATGCAAATTAACCCAATCAAGATGGCTGTGGCCACAGAGCAAGCAAGAGGTTTGGGTTTCCCTGGCAGTGGAGGAAGCCAAGCTTCCTGCACACCCTGGCCAGCCCAGGTCTCTGCTCAAAGCTACAAAGTTTCAATTATAGAAGATAAATAAATTCCAGATACCAGGGTCTCCACTTGGGTCGCCAGGGAGTGTGGCCAGCCTGCAAACCACCACAGGCCCCTCGCCCAAGCCGCTCCATGCCCCAGAGGAATCCCCAGCCTGATCCAGGACATCCTTCAGGGCAAACCAGCCAGCCACTATCCATGTAGCAGGTCTCTATCCTGTCTAATACAGTTAGAGGTGACCAGGCCTGTAGGGGAGTGCAATTAGGGGTGACCAGGCCTGCAAGGGAGGGCAATCAGACTGGCAGGGGAGCAGTTAGGCATCAATTAGGCTGGCAGGGGAGTAGTTAGGGGGTGATAAGGCTGGTAGGCAGAAGCAGTTAAGGGCAATCAGGAAGGCAGGCAAGCAGTTGGGAGCCAGCAGTCCTGGATTGTGAGAGGGATGTCCAACTGCCCATTTAGGCCCAATGGTGGCCTCTATTGGAATGTGTCTTCAACCATTAGGATGCTCCAGAGAGCAGGTGATAGGTTTTACCTTTTTTGTTTTGTTTTGTTTTGGAACTGGGTAGGTATAGTTGAGACTCTTACTAAAAGTGGCCAAACATTTACAAGCTTGACTATCTGTGCACAAATTATTCATGAGTACTTTGAAGTGACATCTTTAAGTGACATTTAGACACTAATTTTTGTTCTTAAAATCCAACTCAGCATTAAAATTGCTACAGCATTAAAGTTGAAACACATCATATTTCTTTTAATTTAAGGACTAAGGATTCAGCTAAGCTAGAGGGTAGTCTCATTGCCAAAGAGATAAAAGATAATTCTTCGTTTCACAGTAGCATTTTCTTCTGGGGTGGGGCTGGGGATAAGCTTGTCCAGAGGGATTGTCTCAGAGTCTCTTGCCAACACACTGTTAAAATATGATTTTTCTCTTCTGGGACCTTGTTCCAACAGTTATCTTATTAAATGGTTATTTTAGAGAATTATGAAGCAAAATGGAAAATTTGAGTCACTGTCTTAAATTTGTTAAAAAGAAATTTATCTTTTTGTTTAGTTGTAATTGACTTATTCTTGCTCTTATTCTGATTTGTCAGCATCTCTCAGCAGCTTGCTTATTACGCCATTTCCCTCCCCAAATTCCTCACTTACCCGAAGTTGTGCCAGCAGCTACCAGAGACGTTGGCGACGCAGCCAAACAACAAGTTTGGAGAATGGGGTATTTCCTAGGTGGTAAGTTGGAACCTTCAATTTATATAAGTAAGATTGAATAGCTCTTTAAACATACTTTCGTATGGTTTTCAGAGATTTGAATCACATTTTATGTATTTTAAGTTTTTGTTTGTTTTTGGTTTTTTTTTATATGCCATGTTTTTATAGTATTAGTTCTAGATCTGTCAAATATGCCATTGGTATTTTAATAAGAATTGTGTTGAATCTATAGATGGCTTTGTTAGTATGGACATTTTAATGATGTTAACTCTTCCAGCCCATGAACATGCTTTAAAAAAAAAAAAAAAATCTTCATTGTTCAGATTATTACAGATGTTCCTCTTTTCTCTCCTCCATAGCTCCCCTCCACCTGTTTCCCCACCCCACCCCATGTCTTTACCCCCCGCCACTGTCTTCATTCATAGGTTTAAGATTTTTGTCCAATCTCTTCCCGAACCCCTCATACCCCCTTCTCCCTGAGAATTCAGCCCACTCCCTTTCTGTGTTTCTGATTTTATTATATTCACCAGTCCATTCTGTTCTTCAGATTTTTCATTCACTTGATTTTTAGATTCATTTTTTGGCAGGTATGTATTTGATGTCTTTTTGTTGTTCATAATTTTTACTTTTACCTTTTTCTTCTTCTTCCTCTTCTTAAAGAATACCCTTCAACATTTCATGTAATCCTGGTTTGGTGGTGATGAACTCCTTTAGCTTTTTCTTGTCTGTGAAGCTCTTTATCTGACCTTCAATTCTGAATGATAGCTTTGCTGGATAGAGTAATCATGGTTGTAGGTTCTTGTATTTATCACTTTGAATATTTCTTGCTACTCCTGTCTGGCCTGCATAGTTTCTGTTGAGAAATCAGCTAATATTCGTATGGGTACTCCCTTGTAGGTAACTTAACTGTTTTTATCTTGCTGCTTTTAATATTCTCTCTTTTTCTTTTTCTCTTGACATTTTAATTCTGATGTGTCTTGGTGTGGTCCTCTTTGGATTTCTTTTTTTCGGGGTTCTCTGTGCTTCCTGTACTTGTAAGTCTATTTGTTTCACCAGGTGGGGGAAATTTTCTGTCATTATTTCTTCAATATCCCGCTCTCTATCTTCTGGCACCCAAAAATCTGGATGTTGGTACGCGTAAAGCCTTCCCAGAGGCTCCTTACACTGTCCTCACACTTTTGGAATCTTCTTTTTTTCTGCCTCTCTAGTTGGGTGTTTTTTGCTTCCTTATATTCCATATCTTTGGTTGACTCTTGGGGTATGTTGATCTACAGTTGAGTTTCTGTATATTCTTTATTTCAAGCAGTTTATGCTTAATTTCTGACTGGTCCTTTTCCATTTTCTTGGCATTCTCATTAAGGTCCTTGAAGGTCTCTTCAAGTTTCTCAGAGATTTTTATCGATAGAAGATTCTCGAGTAACCTTATAAATGTGGTTCTGAACTCTGTGTTGTCTAGTAGTTTACTTTCCTCCATTTCTCCCATTTGTGACATGCTTCTGTGTTTCTGCATTTTGGCTGCCTCCCTGTGTTGATGTAGTGGCTTTGTGTGGTAGGTGACTTATAGGGGCCAGTAGCTCAGCTTTCCCAATCTCCTGAGGTGGTTGCTCTTGGGCTGAGTGCAAAGTCTTGGTGTAGTTAAGCCTTGATTGCTGTTGGTACACTGGGAGGGATTGACCTCCAGGCCAGTTGGCTGTGAGGATCCGCTGTGTCTATAATGGAAGAACTGCTGCACTGGAGACATGCTTATGGTGCAGGCCTTGTTTCAGTGGGGCTTTGGTGCTCACTGAGTCCGCCTCCCAAATGTGTCATGTATGGATGTGAGGAGTTGAAATCTGGTGTCTCACACTGACCACTAGGTACCCTGGCTTCTGGATCTCTAATGGGGTACAGGTCAGCTACTGTCTGAGGCCACCCTGCAGGACTGCAATGAGAACCACAGTCATCTCCTCCCTGCTTCAAGCTTGGAGGCTTTGGAGCTGTCTGCACCAGGTTGCAGGTTTGCTAGGTTAAACTGTAATAGAGAAGGCCATTCATATGCAAAAGCTGTTGCTTGGAGCTTGGGTGTGTTTGTAGATTGTGTGGGACAGAGTCTCAGGGCGTCACTAGGCTAGGGCATGGCAAACTGCGATGGCTGGCAGTGAGCCGTCTCCCCTTTCTGACCCCATCCCTTTGTCTCTCACCTCAGCACAGCAAACAATTATTCTTGCGTACATCTTTGCAAGCAAGCCACCCTCATTTTCCGAACCAATGGCAGACAGTCCAGCTTCTCCTCAGAAACTGGATTTCAGAGAGATCGGGAGCTTATCTCTCTTTGGGTTGAAGAAAGCAATGGCTGCCACCAGCTGGGATCCACCGCCAGCCCGTATCACACACGCCCATGTACCTCAGCTTTTTATACTGAATGCTCTTTGTTCTTTCCGTCCAGTTTTGTCTTTTAGTTGTAGTTTTGAAATTGTTGTGCACCGGCAGCAGTTTAGATGTTTACCTATGCCGCCATCTTAGATCTCCAGGCCCTTTCAGCCTTCTCTTTGTATTAAGTTTATTCGCACCGCTGATGAACCTGTGGGGAAAGGGCTGCATAGGTGGGAGCCTCGGTATATGCTTCTACTTGTTTATATCTTCTTCTATTTGTTGTTTTTTTTTTAGTGTCCTATAGTTTTTCTGAGTACAGGTCTTTTACCTCCTTGGTTAAGTTTATTCCTAGGTATCTTAAATTTTTTTGTTGCAGTGATAATGGGGTTATTTTTTTAGTTTCTCTTTCTGAGAGTTCACTATTAGTATATAAAAATGCTATCGATTTCTGGATGTTAATTTTGTATCCTGCTACTTTGCCGAATTCCTTTATTAATCTAGTAGTTTTTTTGGTGGAGTCTTTAGCGTTTTTTATGTGCAATATCATGTCATCTGTGAATAATGACAGTTTTATCTCCTCCTTTACAATTTGGATGCCTTTTATTTCTTCTTGTCTGATCTCTGTAGCTAAGATTTCCAACACTATGTTGAATAAGAGAGGTGAAAGCAGACATCCCTGTGTTATACCTGTTCTTAGGGGAAACATTTTTAGTTTTTTTCCATTGAGTATGATGTTATATATGGCCTTTATTATGTTGATATATGATCCTTTTATTCCCATTTTGGTGAAAGTTTTTTTCAAAAGTGGGTCCCAGGCCTGGCCAATGTTTCTCAATGGTTGAGCATCAACCTATGAACCAGGAGGTCAGGGTTTGATTCCTGGTCAGGCCACATACCTGGGTTGTGGGCTCAATCACCAGTCTGGGGTGTGCAGGAGGCAGCCAATTAATAATTTTCTCTCAGCATTGGTGTTTGTCTCTCTCTCCCTCTCTCTCTCTCTCTCTCTCTTTCTCTCTCTCTCTCTTCCTCTCTGAAATCAGTAAAAATATATATTTTTTTAATGAGTACTGGATATTGTCAAATGCTTTTTCTACTTCTGTTGATAATGATCATATGATTTTTATCGTTCATTTTGTTTATCACATTTATTGATTTAAGAATGTTGTACCAACCTTTGCCAGGGCTGACCAGCAGACCTTGAGCAATGGATGAATGATTACCCTGACACAGGTTTCCTATGAAAGAGAGGGCTAAGGGACTGCCTGGCTAAAGGAACTAGATAGCCTTGATTGCTGCCTCTTCAGGCTTTTATTGTAGCAGCAGTTTGAGATAAAGTTTATCTTTTAGATACAATCATTAGGGTAAGTAATTTTTGGTGGACGATGTATCTGCAATGTCCTTATGCAAGGACACCAAAAAATTAAGCATAAAGTTTCTGGTTTTATACCCAAGGGTCTGCATGTACACAGGCTTATATAGAAAGGTCAAGGAACAATTAGGGGCAGCTGCCTTTGGCCAACTCCCCTAAGTCAGAATTCAGATAAAGGGGCAGCCGTCTTCACCCAACTTCCCTTTTTGGAATTTTGTCCTTACAGCCCATCTAACCAAGTCTCCTGTGCTCCCCTACACCATCCTTGCATCCCTGGTTATGGTGTATGGTTTTTTTTTTTTTTTTTTTTTTTAATATATTGCTGGATCTGATATGCTAATATTTTGTTAAGGATTGTAGCATCTATGTTCATCAGGAATATTGGCCTGTAATTTTTTTCTTTGTATTTTCTATCTGGTTTTGGAATTAGGTTAATGGTGGCCTAGTAAAATTATGTTGATGTATGAAATCTTTGAAATCTTCCTAGTTTGAGGAGGATATAGGTGTTCTTCATTGAATGTTTGGTAAAATCCCCCAGGGAAGCCATCTGGACCAGGACTTTTGTTTGCTTGGACTTTTTTGATCACTTCTTCAATTTTTTTAGTTGTTATTGGTCTGTTTAGGCTTTCTGATTCTTTATGATGGAATTTTTGAAGATTGTATGTTTCTAAGAATTTGTCCATTTCACCCATGGTTTTTGACAAATAGTTGTTCATAGTATTTTCTTACAATCCTTTTTATTTCTGTGGTGTCAGTAGTTACTTCACATCTTTTATTCCCAATTTTATTTATTTGAGTTTTCTCTCTCTGCTTCTTGATGAGTCTGGCTAAAGGCTCACCAATCTTGTTTATCTTTTCAAAGTACCAGCTCTTGGTTTCATTGATCTTTTGTATTGTTTTTAAATCTATTGAATCATTTTTTTTTGTGGTAAAGTATGCGTAACATAATACTTACTCTTTTAACCATTATTAGATGTATAGTTCAGTGGCATTAAGTACTTCCACATTGTTGTGCAACTATTCATGTCCAAAACTTATCTCTCCAAACTAAAACTCTGTACCCATTAAACAATAATTAATCCCCATTCCTCCTTCTTCTCAGTCCCTTAAAATCACCACTCTGTTTTTTGTCTGTATGAATTTGACTATTCTAGATACTTCATATAATTGGATTCATATAATATTTATCCTTTTATGTCTGGCTCATTTTACTTAGCATGTCTTCAGGGTTCATCCTTGTTTTAGCATAAATCAACATTTCATTTTTTTAATCTGAATAATAGTCCATTTTATGTATATACCACTTTTTTTTCATTCTTATTCATCTGTTGATATTTGGGGTGTTTTCATTTTTTTGCTATTGTGAATAATATTGATATGGACATGGCCATGTGTACAAATACCGGTTCAAGTCCCTGCTTTCATTTCTTTTTTGGTCTATACCCAGACATAGAATTGCTGGATTGTATAGAATTCTGTGTTTAAGTTTTGAGGAATCACCATAATGTTTTCCACAATGGCTGCACCATTTTGCATTTCTACCAGAAAAGCATAAGAGTTTTAGTTTCTCTACATCAAGCATCTCAAACTCAAAGACTAAAATGGGCCAAATAAGCAAGGTTTAAGTTTATATGGGCCACATAAAAAGCTTCAATACTCATAGAAATGAAGGTTTATTTCAATATAGATATGCTGAATATAAAGGACTGAAATAAACGAGTAATTGTTGACATAAAACAATAGAACATTTTAATAAAAATATTTTTTTCTTGAAGATTAACTTACCTGACACTGAATAACTGCACAAATTAATAAGCGCAACAAATATAAACCTATTTTTCTTGTTCTCCAAAAGCAAATATTTCCTGTTGTGCACACAAAACAAGGCAGTATGAGACTAATGACGTGGCAATCATCTGCTAAAATACCCACTGCTGGTATTAGTGGAGAGAAATGGTGTGCCTACATGTAAGGTGTGGAAGGGAAATGAATGCAACACGATTATAGTAATCAGTTATTAGTGAGCGTTGTAGTTTGTTATTAATAATTATGTATAACAGGATACTGTAAGAATAAAGTTACGAAATTTTTATTAAAACTTTTCTCACATACTGTTATTTTGGCTGGGCCCCAAAAATATTCGTTGTGGGCCGAGAGTTTGACATGCTTGCTCTACATCGATGCCAGTTGTTATTTTCTTTTCTTTTCTTTTCTTTTTTTTAAATCATCACAGCCATCCTAATAGGTGTGAAATGTTATCTCATTATGGTTTTGCTTTGAATTTCTGTAATGTCTAGTGGTGTTGAGCATGTTTTCATGTACTTATTGGCCATGTGTATTTATTTGGAGAAATGTCTATTCAAGTGTTTTGCCCATTTTAAAATCAGGTTATTTTTTGTTGAGTTGTAGGACTTATTATATATTCTGGATATCAGTTTCTTATCATACAAATGCTTTGCAAATATTTTCTCCCATTCCATGGGTTACCTTTTTATTCCTTTAAATTTTTTTTAAAACTTATTTTCTTGGGGGCAGGGAGAAAGGGAGAGAGAGAAACATTGATATGAGAGAGAAACATCTATTCAGTTGCCCATACCCTGACCAAAATAAAACTGGTGACCTTTTAGTGCATGGGATGATGCTCAACCAACAGTTTTTAATTTTTATGTAGTTCATCTCTTCTTTCTTTTGTTGCCTGTGCTTTTGGTGTCTTACCCAAGAAATGATTGTCAAGTCCTTCATAAAGCTTTTGACCCTCTGTTTTCTTGTAAGAGGTTGATAGTCTTAACTCTTCTGTTAGGACTTTGATCCATGTGCTGCATAATTTGATATTTTAGTTTTTCCTGTTTCTATTTTGGCAAGATAATTCATGCTTGAAAGGTGGTGTGATTTTTTTTTTTTTTTTTTTTTTAGTCTATGTTAAGTACAACTATAGATAATGACGCTTCTCCTTTATTTACTCCCTGTATTTCTTCATCTTTGATTTTACTGCTTTAATCAAAAACAGAAATAAGTAGATTCTAGAACAGTGAAGAGGTTGTATCAGACTCATCTATAAACCTTAAAATTCAGGCATATTTAGGTTAGTTATAGAATTGGGATTATCTATATTTTAGTGACTTTTAGTTAAACCAAAGTGTTCCTATTCTCTTAAAATTTCTTATTAAAATTTGACCAGGAAGGACTAGCCAGTATATTTATGAATGAAATTTACAATTGATAAGAATTTTTAGATTTACTTAATAAAACAGGAGACCTTTAGCTTACCTTCATTTAATTAGCAAGGGGATAGAATTTAAAATTTAATTATTTTTATATTTTTTAAAATAAAATATTTGTTTTTAAGGTCTATAGAAGAAAGCTTTAATCTATCAGATGAAAGCTGTGGACCTACCCCAGGAATTGTGAGAAAAAAGAAGATTGCAATTGGAGTAATCTTTTCATTATCCAAAGATGAAGATGAAAATAACAAATTTAATGAATTTTTTTTTTCACATTTTCCTCTCTTTGAAAGCCACATGAACAAATTAAAGAGTGCAATAGAACAGGTAAGCATAGTCATGTTGTTGGTTTGTTTATATCCTTTATTTTTCTTTGAATCTTATTCTGTTTAAACATTGTGTTTATTTATTTGACACAAAAATTAACAGGTACTATGCATATACCCTACAAACTGCTCTGGGAGATGCAAAATAAACCTTAACTCTTTAAGGGGCTTACTGCCTAATAAAAGACCTAAAGACATTCGTCTATTCATTCAATAAATAAATAGTTGAGGGCTTATAAGGTGTCAGGCACTATTCTAGAAACTAAGATAAGATGTGAAAAAAGTGACATCCCTGACCACATGGGACATCAACTGAACATATAAGCTACCAGATGGGATTAAGTGCTATGGAGAAAAATTAAACAGAAAAAGATTTATAAGAAGTGATTGGTGGAAGGATTGGTAATTTTTAGAGGCTAGTCTGGAAGGCTCCTGATAAAATGACGTGTGGTCCAGAAATATGAAGGAGATAAGCTACACCTGTCTGAGAGGAGAATATTCCAGGCAGAGACAAAGGTCCTATGTTAGGAGTAAGCCTGATGCTTGATCAACAGGAAGGAGGTCAAAGTGGCTGGGTTAGAAGACAAGATAATATAAGGCCTGATAGGGCTCCATTGTCAATTACTCTTTTTTTTTTTTTTTTTTAATATATTTTATTGTTTTTTTACAGAGGGGAAGAGAGAGGAATAGAGAGTTAGAAACATCGATGAGAGAGAATCATCGATCGGCTGCCTCCTGCACGCCTCCCACTGGGAATGTGCCTGCAATCAAGGTACATGCCCTTGACCGGAATCGAACCTGGGACCTTTCAGTCCACAGACCGACGCTCTACCACTGAGCCAAACTGGTTTTGGCATCAATTACTCTTAAGAGAAATGGGAGACCATTGGGGATATTGAGTGGAGGAATAACATTATATGTGAGGATCACTAATGCTGGTGGAGAATAGATTTCTAGGAGCAAAGATAGATGTTGTAGGACCAGTTAGGAGGTTATTGGCATAATCTGGGCAAGAGATAATGGATACCCAAACTAACTTAATGGTGAAATAGTGAAACATGGTTGGATTCTGGACATATTTTGAAAAACAGAGCTAATGAGATTAGCAGATGGGGGTTGAATTGGGCAGTAACATAAAGAGCAATAGAGGTTGACTCAAGAATTTTATTTGAGCAGTAAGAAGGATGGACTTGCCAGTACTAAAATGGGGAAATTACAGGTAAAATATATTATATTTGGCAGCAGAAAATTAGAGGCTTGTTTGAGATGCCTCCTAAATGGTTTTTTATACATCTAGAATTTAAGGAAAAGGTCCATGTTGGACAATCAGGACAGAAGAGAGGAGTAGAGATCCTAGGCCTGATTTGTGGAGCATTTCAGCAGTTAACATTTGAGGAGAAGTGACTGAGGATTGGCCATTCAAGTAGGAGGGAAAAGGAGAGAGTACTTTTGGGGGGTAGGGGCAGCGATCCAAGTGATGAAAGTGATTTAAGAAGGCACAAGTGATCAGTTGCTGCTGATAGTACATAATAAATTTTCATAAAGTAGAAAATTGTAAACATAAGATAGAAAATAAGGATACCTAAAAAGGGAGAACAACCCAAACTTTTTTAGGAGTTCATAGGAAAGAAGTGGCAGGCACTATTCTAGAAACTAAAGAATTGTGAAAAAAGTAACACTATTGGGATGCTGTTTCATTTGGGCTGCATCTTAAGTGGTCGCCAACCTTTCGGACCTCATGAACCACCAGTTGTCGACCACTGTTTCAACTGTATCGTTAAACCAGTGGTGGCCAACCTTTTGGAACTCATGGCCCACCAGTGTGATTCCTAGACCACCAATTGGCGACTGCTGTCTTAAAGCATATGTAGGATTTTTTAAACAAAACTTCAAAAATTAGATATAGCAGAATAACAAGAAAAACTGATATCCTTGCCATCCAAAAATAATTCATTAATGTTTTACTAGAAGTCTTGTCCAGGCCTTTTCTATGTATGTTAGAGGCCCGATGCACAAAATTCATGCACGGGATGTATGTCCCTCAGCCCAGCCAGCACCAATCTGGGACCCCTCGAGGATGCCCGACTGCCTACTTAGGTCTGGTAGGATCGGGCCTAAACGGGCAATTGGATATCCCTCTCATAATCTAGGACTGCTGGCTCCCAAACTGCAGGACTGCCTGCCTGCCTGCCTGCCTGATTATCCCTAACTGCTTCTGCTGCTAGCCTGATCACTCCCTAACCTCTCCCCTGCCCGCTTGATTGATGCCTAACTGCTCCCTTGCCAGCCTGATTGCCCCTAACTGCCCTCCCCCGCAGGCCTGGTCACCCATAACTGCCCTACAACTACCCTCCTCTGCTGGCCTGGTTACCCCTAACTACCCTCCCCTGCAGGCTTGATCACCCCCAACTGGCCTCCCTTACAGGCCTGGTCCCTCCCAACTGGCCTCCCCTGCTGGCCATCTTATGGCGGCCATTTTGTGTCCCTATATTGTGTGTTGGAAAGATGGTCAATTTACATATTACTCTTACTAGATACAATAGAGGCCTGGTGCACGGCTGGTTTGCCCTGAAGGGTGTCCCAGATCAGGGTGGGGGTTCCTTTGGAGTGTGGGGTGCCCTGGGCAAGGGGCCTGAGGTTGTTCTTAGATATATTTTAGTCACTTTCCTTAGCATAAGTAATAAATTTTCTATTAGGCCATTTCTACTTTCTCACAATTATAGTTACAGTATAATTAACGTATTGGTGAATTTTCCAGATTATTTTTCAGGAGAAATTCCCAGAAGGTGAACCAATAGGTATAACTGAAGTTCTTAATCCCTATAACAGTATGCAGAAAGGAGATGGCTGGAAGAGTTAATGAATACAGATCTCAAAGAATTAGAATGCTTGAGAGAAGTTTTGACTTTGTTTTTAAGGCTGTCTCCAAATTGTGCTTCAGGAAGATTAATTTGGCAGCATGTTTAAAATAAGCTAGAGTAAAAGGCTTTAGATGGGAAGACCAGTTAGAGTAGTCTAGAAAGCAGAGGGTGCATTTCAAGAACTTAGTAGTGAATAAGAATCATCTGCCTCTAGAGAGGACAATGATGTTAGTTTATTCACATTAAATCAGTCAAAAGACAGATAGGTCTTTAGCAATGCTTTTTTTTCTTTTCCTTTTTTTTTTTTTTTTTTTTTTTTTCTTTCACAGAACAAATGAATAAAGGCCATTTTCACTTTTTCAGAAGTTAGGCATTTCTTTAGTCAGCTTCTGTCTCTCTTTGTAGTCTGTTGTTGCCAAAGTCAATATACATAATATTGAGCTGTGGTTGAACTGACCTTTTAAGTTACTGGGAGATGTGTTTCAAGATTTGTATAAAACTTGAAGTATTTAGGCACTATGGAACTCATTACAGATAACTTTTCAAATGGTAAAATGTTTTCACCATTTTTAATCTAAAGTTTATCTATCCTATATAATAAAGAGGTAATATGCAAATTAACCCTCACACTCTCACAAGATGGCTGTTTATGACCAAGCTAATAGAGGGTTAGTGAGGGACAACCAAACGACTGAACTGCAGGCCAGCAAGTGGGGGGAGGGCATGAGGGGTGACCAGGCCAGAGGGGGGAGTTGGGGGCAACCAGGCCGGCAGGGGGATGGGTGATCAGGCTGCCATGCAGAGGCAGTGAGGGGCAATCGGGGTGTGGGGGGGAGGCAGTTAGGGGCAACCAGGCAGACAGGCAGGTGAGCAATTAGGAGCCAGAGGTCCAGGATTAGGAGAGGGATGTCTGACTGCCAGTTTAGGCTCCATCTCCGGGATCGAACAACTGATCCACCGGTGTCTATGATGCACACTGACCACCAGGGGGCAGATGTTCAATCAGAAGTTGCCTCCAGTGGTCAGTGCGCTCCCACAGTCCCTCCCCCCAGCCAGCCAGCCCCAGTTGGCCCTAATACGGCTGGCTGGCCAACTTCCTGTGGTCCCTCCCCCCAGCCAGCTGGCCAGCCTCCATGGCCTTGATCAGCACTGATCACTGGCCAGGCCGAGAGACCTAACCCGTGCGTGAATTCATGCAGCAGGCTTCTGGTATACTTATAGTTGTCTGGATATTTATTGAAGTTTAGCATCTCATTTCTTATTAAAGCTGAAAGATAAAGCTATATGAATGAATACTTTTATATAAATTTATAGAACTTACTTTGAAAAGATCTACAGTTAGTTAATGGTAGAATATAATAAACACTAAACCATTCAAAAAATTTATCTTCTGGAGCCAGTTTAAACTGTCAAATTTTTTTTTTTTAATGTAAAGCTGTGGATTTTGTTTCTGGTACCATATTTTTTAAAAATATATATTTTATTGAGTTTTTACAGAGAGGAAGAGAAGAGGGATAGAAAGCTAGAAACATCAATGAGAGAGAAACATTGATCAACTGCCTCTTGCACACCCCCTATTAGGGATGTGCCCGCAACCAAAGTACATGCCCTTTACCGGAATTGAACCTGGGACCTTTTAGTCTGCAGGCTGACGCTCTTATCTACTGAGCCAAACCGGTTTTGGCACCTTAGATATTTTTTTGAAGTTTGTACTACCTTTTGAGATCTGTGATTTAATTAAACATTTCTATTGCTGGCAAAATTAAGAACACTTCTCAATTCTAGCTAAAAAAAAAATACACTTCTTCATAAATTGGTAGTCTATCAACAGTTTGTAAAAACAAAAGTTTCACTTTTACCCTGTGAAGGTTTTTGATATATATGAGCATGATTTATGGCTGAAGTAGTATGATCTACTCTTAGATATATGTTAAAATATTTAAAAATTAATTTATAGTTACTTAATGCAGAATACATATTCTTTTTAAAATCTACAAAATTAAAGAGTTGTGTGTGTTGTTGTTGTTTTAATATACACAGACTAATCCTGATCCCCTTTTTCTACTTGAAGCAAGGCTTTTCAAACTTGGCTAAACATGTTTTAAAGAAAACAATTATTATTAACTTAAGATATCTTTCAGTAGAATCTTTATATTCCAGATTCTAAAAATTAGTTTTTTTTTAACACTACCATTTGTGAAATATTAGAGAAAACCATTACTGAGTTATTATTGTGTCCTGTTCTACTTGAGAAAAAAATAGTTTTATGTAAGCCAGAAACTGTCAATATTAGTTTCTTTGTGTGTGGACATTCTGTGATTTGACAGTTACCATAAGAGATTTAACACTTGAAAATTTTGAATTTTGTTGTAGTCATTAATGACCTTACTGTATAAAAGAAAGCCACTGTAAATATGTATGTCTTCCTTACATTTTTCTAGATAAAAATGGTGGTAGAGTATTGTGGAAATATATGACTTTGTCTTTCACTTTCTTCCCCATATTTTACCCATGATAAGTATAAGAATTAACTATTTGATTGCTTTCAAGGCTATGAAAATGAGCCGGAGATCAGCTGACACCAGTCAGAGGAGTTTGGCTTATAATCGAATAGTTGATGCCCTAAATGAATTCAGGTACATATTCTCCATGTTCTCATAATATAGAGTTGTTTTTCAGTGTACACAAAAAGATTTATTTGTATTCTTTAACTTATTTCTGATAAAATTTAATTTTTTAAATTATTTTCTTCCGTTGTCAAAGGATAGTATAATTCTGTAACCTATTGGGTCCTAAGTTATTAAATATTAAATATGCTTGGGATTGAGGCACATGAGGGAGCCATCAGCAGTGTGATTTTTAGTGTTGGACCATTCGACAAGCTAATATGACCAGAGAAGACCCTTATTCCAACAGAAATGTGGTTTGTCTTCTGTTGGGCTATTAGTTGTAGGGACTAGTTGTTATTTAAACAGTGATAGTAATCAGATTTTCTTGGATACATGGACTACAAAGATACATGGATACAGTGAATATGAATTTGATGTTGCAAGTAACTGTTGCTTGATCTTTTCCCTAGATCAGTGTTTCCCAAAGTGTGGTACGAGTATCCCCAGGGGTACAGGAAGAGTTTGGTGGGGATATGCACTGCACCCTGCTTAGCTGCGCCTAATTCTATGTTCTCATGAGTACGAGGGGTACTCAGCGTTATGAAAATTATAGAAGTACACATATGTCAGAAATTTGGGAAACACTGCCCTTGATAATGGCAAAGCAAATAGTTTTCCTTCTACCAGTATTTTCACGCATAACAAAGTTTGTGCCTACAGCTGCAATAACTGCTTGTAACTGCTCTCATTATGGCAAGCAAACATATGCATACGAACTTATGTTAGGAATCACAAAGTGACTGATATGTGTCTCCCTTTGAGAGAATCATTTCAGAATTACTTCATCCTCTCGTCCACTTAATCTTTTCTCCTTTAGCCTGGAGAGATAGTATAGACTTTTTGCTTATTTGCCTAAGAATCCTGAAATATTGGTTCTGAGTTTTATATTTTGCAGCATTACAAGTTAATGAATCTTTGCCCTTGAACTTGGAGCTATTACTTAGTACATTATTGGATTACAGTTCCTTTCTGCAGTCACAAGCTTTGTGGCAGAAGGCCAAGAGTCCCTATTTGAGCTCCGAGGTAGCACTGTCATTAGAGACCCAGCTGAGGTTACCAGAATAGTAAATATTGTCATAAGACTCATTCCATTTAGAATATTGATCTTGCTCTTAGGTTATAAACAGTATTTTTATTTAGAATAATTGAATTGAAAATTTGCAAGTTAATTGTTTTGGTAATAAGGAAGTATGAATAATTTTAAGCCTTATAATTTTAAGATTGCATAGAATTTAAAACATGCATGAGTTATAAAATCATTGAAAATATATATCATGATTGAGTATCTTTCCTTTTATATTAGTGTGATTATTTTACTTTAGTCACTGTGGAAATCTGAAAGACTATGTAAGTTAACAAATTCTTACAATATCTAAAAAACTGTATAAACTAATAATTTAAAAAATATATTTTTTATTGGTTTTAGAGAGGAAGGGAGAGGGAGAAAAAGATAGAAACATCAGTGATGAGAGAGTATCATTGATTGGCTGCCTCCTGCAGACCTCACATTCAGGACTGAACCTGCAAATCAAGCATATGTCCTGACCAGGAATTGAACTGAAGGCTATCTGTAGAAGTACTCTAATGTGTAGAGTTGATCTTCATTATTTATGGGTTCTGATTTTGTGAATTCATTACTTGCTAAGATTCATAACCCCATAATTTACTCACAATGCTTTTACAATTACAATCATTTGTGAACATGCACAGAGCAGTGAAAAATTTGAGTGGCCTTACACACACATTCCCAGATGATATCAAACAGGACAGTGCTCTGTGTTCTTACTTCAGCTCTTATTCTCTCTCTGTATATAGATATATATAAATTTCTATATTTCCTTTTATATGTATGTCCTTTTAGACATATATACTGAATGGCCAGATTATTATGATCTCTGAACGCATAGTAATCTGGCCGCTCAGTATATATCCTATATAATAAAAGGCTAAAATGCAAATTGTCCCCTTGACCAGGAGTTTGACCAGCAGGCAGGACGGCTAACTGCTCATGTCCCCTGCCCCCGGCCAGGCTGGCTGAACCCCACCCATACACGAATTCATGCACCATGCCTCTAATACACACACACACACACACACACACACACACACACACACACTCTGAGTGGCCAGATTATTATGTGATCAAAGATCATAATAATCTGGCCACTCAGTGTATATAAATGTATATATATAGTACCAGTTAGGGTTTTTTTTGTGTGTGTGTGTGTTTTGTTTTTTTTTTTAATAAATCTTTATTGTTCAGATTATTAGAAATGTGTTCCTCTCCCCCCCCTCAATTGCTCCCCTCCACCAGGTTCCCACCCACCCTCTGTCCTTTCCCCATCCCCCATTGTCCTCATCTATAGGTGCACAGTTTTTGTTCAGTCTCTTCCCGCACTCCCATTCCCCTTTTCCCCGAGAATCGTCAGTCCACTCCCCTTCCATAACTCTGATTCTATTATATTCACCAGTTAATATTGTTCATCAGATTTTTTTTTAATTTCCTTGGTTTTTAGATTCACTTGTTGATAGTTACATATTTGTTGTTCATAATTTTTATCTTTATCTTCTTTCTCTTTCTAAATAACCTCCTTCAGCAATTCATATGATTCTGGTTTGGTGGTGATGAACTCTTTCAGCTTTTTTTATTTTTATTTGTGAAACTCTATCTGGTCTTCGATTCTGAGTGATAGCTTTGCTGGGTAGATTATTTTTGGCTGTAGGTTCTTGCTATTCATCACCTTGAATATTTCTTGCTTTTCCCTTCAGGCCTGCATGGTTTCTGTTGAGAAATCAGCTGACAATCATATAAGTGCTCCTTTATAGGTAACTACCTGCTTTTCTCTTGCTGCTTTTAATATTCTCTCTTTGTCTTTTGCTCTTGGAATTTTAATTATGATGTGTCTTGGTATGGTCCTCCTTGGATTCCTTTTGTTTGAAGTTCTATGCACTTCCTGGACTTGTAAGTCTATTTCTTTCCCCAGGTGGGGCAAGTTTTCTGTCACTATTTCTTCCAGGATTCTTTTAGTATCTTGCTCTCTCTCTTCTTCTGGGATCCGCATATTTCTGATGTTGGTTCGCTTGAAATTGTCCCAGAGGTTTCTTACACTATCTTCAACTTTCTGGATTCTCTTATCTTCTTGCTTCTGTGGAGAAGTGTTCTCTGGATCTTTGTGTTCTAAATCTTTGTCTTCATTCTTGAGATCTTCCAGTCTGATTTTAGGACTCAGACAATGTTTTCTTCATTTCTAGTTGATCCCTTATTATTTCTAGTTGATCCCTTTTCATATCCTCATAGGTCTCATTTATTTTATCGGCCTTTTTTTTAGGATATTCTTGAATAATCTTATAACTGTAGTTTTGAACTCAGTGTCCAATCTTTTCTTTTCCTCCATCTCCTTTCTTTGTGTCCTGCCTCTTGTCTGCATTTTAGTTGTTTCCCTGATTTGATGGAGTAGTTTTGTGTGCTAGGTGTTCTGGTAGCGCCCAGTAGCCTTCCCATTTACCTGCGGAGGACAGTCTTGGTGTAGCCCTTTGTGGGCTGTGTGTGCAGTCTTGTTGTTAAGCCTTGCTTATTGTTGGTATCACTGGGAAGCTTTGATCTCCAAGCCAATTGGCTATGAGGATCAGAAGTGTCTCAGTTAGGAGGGCTTCTGTACTCTGCTTGGATAGGGCGGGGTCTTGGGGTGGCGCAGACAGTCTTTGGTTCCCTGTCAGTCTCACCTTAGAAAAGTCCTGTTCGCAGTGAGTTTCGGAAGATTGGTTGCAGGCGCACACATCTCTTTGGTAAAGGCGCAGACAAGCTTTGGATTCTGGCCAGTCCCTCCTTAGAGAAAGCTAGCCTCTCGGAGAGCTTCTGTGCTCAGCTTGGATGGGGCCAAGTCTCGGGTTGGTGCAGACAAGCTTTATTTCCCGTTGGCTCCTCCCCAAGTCCCACAGTAATGGCCTCTGGCTTCACACACCTCTGAGAGATCTCTGCCCACTGCCTGACAGTCTGGCCTCTCCCTGACTGGGGCCGTCTATCAGAGCAATAGGGCAATTCTGTTTTCCTCTCAAACAAGAAATCCAGCCGCGCATTAGCTGTCCGCCCTCTCCGCGCGCCGGCAGTAAGCCAGCAGCAATCTCGGTCCAGCCCTACCTCTCCGTGCTCCAGGAGTCAGCCAGCGCCTTTTCATGCTCACAGTTCTCTGTACCTTCACGGTTCCTGAGGTTCAGCGTGCCTTCTCTCTCCTTTCCAGATGGCAGAGCTTCATCTCAGCTAGCCGTCCGGTGCTTCAGGGCAATGTCTCCCCTGTTTTCCAGTTCTAAATTCAAATTTGTTGTGGTAGGCTGCATTCAGGTGTCTACCCTATGCCGCCATCTTGGTTTCTCCAGTACCAGTTAGTTTTGCATTTTGAGCTTTTTGTTAGTGATTTTGCTCTTAAAAATGGCCCTCGAGTATTGTGCTGAAATGCTGACCTTTGTTCCTAAGTGCAAGAAGGCTGTGATGTGCCTTACAGAGAAAAATACATGTGTTAGGTAAGCTTCATTGATTGTGCTGTTGGCTGTGAATTCAATGTTAATAAGTTTATATAGAACAAGATTATATATTTATGGATTGGCAAATATGTGACCCAAAGGCTCACAAGAGCTTTAACCTATATTTCCCCTAGGAACAGTGACTCAGTGTTCACTAATTCAGTGTTCACATCATTACTGATGTGACTGTAGAATATTACTGCAAATAATGAGATTATCATGCTTAATTTTATTTATATATTTCTTATTTAAAAAAAATATATTTTATTGATTTTTTATAGAGAGGAAGAGAGAGGGATAGAGAGCTAGAAACATCAATGAGAGAGAGTCATCAATCAGCTGCCTCTTGCACACCCCCTACTGGGGATGTGCCCGATTCCGAACCTGGGACCTTTCATTCCGCAAACCAACTCTCTATCCACTGAACCAAACCTGTTTCAGCTATCATGCTTAATTTTAAAACTAAGTGGTTATTAAAAATTACAATTAGACGATATTTAGGTGATTATTTGAGACCAGAAAAATTAATGAATCTTGGGTAGTAGAGAAGAGGAAGGAAATGATTCACCTGTATACAGAAGTCCTGAAACCTAGAGAAGCAGGAAGTACATTTTAGTTAGCATAGCTTCCTCTCAGAAAGATGTGGTCCTTGGGTTTTTATGTATATTTAATGCATAACAACAAGCAAAACTAAATTATATGCACAGTTCCCTTACAACTGAAGGAGTCTTTCATTCTCTAAGGACAGATTAAGAAAAATGAAGAATCAGATGACTGAAAATACCTGCCCTTCTTACCACTGACGGGCAAGGCATAGTCATTAGTGGGAAGAAAGCACCATTACTTTTTATGTCATTGATGACTACATAGAATTGTATGTAGTAAGGAGCATTACTCATAATTTCTTTCCCGTCTTTGCACCTGATACACTTTGAGATCATAGTACATATCCTTAAACACCAAAACACTAAGGCCTTAGTGTTTCTCAGTGGACCACTATACTAATATTAGTGATCTGCCCCTGGCCAATGATACACAGGTTTTTAGTAGATACTAATACACTGAAGAAATTAATAGCAAATGAATTGACCAGCTCATTGATTCATTTATACTGTGTTTCTTTTAATCCAAAAGTAAATTCAAATGGTTAAGAAACAATAATGAAAGGTCTAATAATGAAAAATAAGTGAATCCCATCCAACCTCTCTTATTCCCTTAACTATTTTTTTTAAAATATATTTTATTGATTTTTTACAGAGAGGAAGGGAGAGGGATAAAGAAATAGAAACATCGACCAGCTGCCTCCTACACACCCCCTACCGGGGATGTGCCCGCAATCCAGGTACATGGCCTTGACCGGAATCAAACCTGGGATCTTTCAGTCTGCAGGCCGATGCTCTATCCACTGAGCCAAACTGGTTTCAGCTCCCTTAACTACCGTGTTTCCCCGAAAATAAGACATCCTCCGAAAATAAGACCTAGCGCATGGAAAGATAAGACATCCCCTGAAAATAAGATCTAGCGCAACTTTGGGAGAAAAAATTAATATAAGACACTGTCTTATTTTCGGGGAAATGGTATTTCTTTTGTTATTAACCTCCATATTGTTGTTTTTAAAAAATATATATTTTATTGATTTTTTTTGCAGAGAAGGAGGGAGAGGGATAGAGAGTTAGAAACATAGGATGAGGGAGAAACATCAATCAGCTGCCTCCTGCATACCTACTGGTGATATGCCTGCCACCAAGGTACATTCCCTTGATTGGAATCAATTACCCTTGAGTCTGCAGGCCGACGCTCTATCCACTGAGCCAAATCGCTTAGGGCTACCTTCAAATTGTTAAGCAATATCTGGACATTCTTAATATGCTTTAAAAATAAGCATCTTTACATATCTCTAGTTTATATTCTAGTCATATTTTTCTCTGTAAAATAACTTTAATTCTCTTCTATTTTTTTTTTTTTTAAAGTTTCCAGCAATGATGTTATGTCCTGTCAGGAACTCTTTATTAACCACCCTAATCAGTTTGGCTCAGTAGATAGAGTGTTGACCTCCAGACTGAAGTGTCCATGTTTGATTCCGGTAAAGGGCACATGCCTGGTTGCAGGCTGGATCCCCAGTAGGCGGTTTAAAGGGGGCAACCGATCAAGGATTCTCTTGTCATTGATGTTTCTTTCTATCTTTCCCTTTCCCTTTCCCCTTTCTCTCTGAAAGCAATAAAGATATATTTTTTTAAAAATTCATTAACTTGTCTCTATCACTTCTATCGATTGGAATATAGTGTGTTCATAATGGGTCACAATTTAGTGAAACTGGTTCTTTTCTTTTTTTGGATTCTAGGGGCTAGAAAATTATGCTGAAGTGGGTGCTAGCTCTTGTGGAATTATCAGAGAACTAGAGAACAATTAGATTCTTAAGACCCAACTTTACAGGAGTTTAGTCTGGCCTGAATTGAACCTGGGACCCGTCAGTCTGTAGGTGTTGTTCTGTCCATTGAGTCAAACCAGCTTAGGGTTAAATTGTTGTTTTAACTGGGTATATGGATAAGCTACTACCCCATTTATTATCTCTTTTCTATGTTGCTCGTTATTTATATTTAAATACAGCATATACCTTAGGAACGTAAAACTGGAAGGGGCCTTAAAAATTATCTAGTCCTATCCTTTTACAAGTGGAGGAAACTGATGCTTAAAATAGAGAAATAATTTACCTAAGGGCACACAGTCATTGGGGACCAAGCCAATGGCAGAACCAGCATATTATGAGTTTATATGCAGAACATTTTCCATGGTACTGTGCTGATAACCAAAAAAAAAAAAAAAAAAAAAGCAACTAGATTTATTGTCTCCTCTCAAAAGCTTTAATAATCTAGGTGTGAGGCCCAAGATGGAAAGGTAACCTTATTTTAAGGTGTGTAATTCTGTGAACTATGAATTTCTTCTTTTTAGGACAACAATTTGTAATCTTTACACAATGCCACGAATTGGAGAGCCTGTTTGGCTTACAATGATGTCGGGGATTCCAGAAAAGAACCAGCTTTGCCATCGATTCATGAAGGAGTTCACTTTTCTAATGGAAAATGCTTCAAAAAATCAGTATGTCTGTCTTTACTTATCTGAGCTATCTTAAATACCTTAGTTATTGCTTACTATAGCTAGATGTAAAATTATAATCAAACTCAGTTATAAAAGTAAAAGAATTAATCATTATCTTTTAGATATTAATAAAATGAATTCTAAAAGATAATGAAAAAAAAAACAGGGTATGGAAAAAGGCCACAGAACTTTATGAATAAGAAACAGTAAAAATGTCTCTATGTGAAATTAAAAGTCCTGACATCTTACAGAAAACTCGGAGGCTTTCCATTTTTTGTGAATTATATTTACTTTTGCCATTTTATACCATAAAAAAAAATTTAACAGTATAAACAAATGCCAAGATTCTAGTGATTCATTTTTAAAAAATATATTTTATTGATTTTTTTACAGAGAGGAAGGAAGAGGGATAGAGAGTTAGAAACATCTATGAGAGAGAATCATCAATCAGCTGCCTCTTGCACACCCCCTACTGGGAATGTGCCCATGACCAAGATACATGCCCTTGACCAGAATCGAACCTGGGACCTTTTAGTCCACAGGCTGATGCTCTATCCACTGAGCCAAACCGGTTTCGGACATTTTTTTAAAAAATGGTGGGTGTGTTTTTCTTTATTGTTGTTTTTTAAATATGTTTTTATTGATTTCAAAGGGAAGAAGGGGGGGGGGGAGAAACATCAATGAGAATCATTAATTGGCTGCTTCCTGCACGCCCCCTACTGGGGATTGAGCCCACAGCCCAGAATAGAAATCAAACCGTGACTACTGTGGTTTCATGGTTTCATTTTGACTGGACCCTGTGATCCATTTTTTAAATTATATTTTATCATGTTTTTTTCCTCAAAATTTCCAGAATTCACATGAGTAATTCAAATTTTCTTTTTAATTCTCTTTGATGGTAGATAGTTTAATACTTTCCTTCGTTTTACCATTCAGTACTTTGGAAATGTATAGAACTTCTGGTTTATATGCTAATAAATTGTGTAAATTAAACTTTGAAAAGAATTCATAGTTTTTCATCTAAAACTGCATATCTGTTTTGTAATTATGATCAGAAATAGTTCCTTGTGAATGCTGTCTTTATTTCAAGGATTTTCTTTGACTCTCACACAACCAAAAAATTAATTAAATTTCATTTTTATCCCAATGATATTCCTATCCTTTACCCTCTCTTTTTGTATGCTGTTTGGCCATGTGCGAATATGTACTTTCTTTGCTTATTCTGTCACTCTATTTACCTGAGGATTCATGAAGGCAGATTAGAATCTGATAGGATGCATTTTGTTTTCAGATTCTTGCCAGCACTCATTACTGCAGTTCTGACCAATCATCTTGCCTGGGTTCCAACAGTTATGCCAAATGGACAACCACCTATAAAAATATTTTTAGAAAAACATTCCTCTCAGAGTGTGGACATGTTGGCAAAGACTCATCCGTATAACCCACTTTGGGCACAGCTGGGTATGTAGTCTGATAACCCTTACATTATGCATTATATATACTTAGACTTTTGTGTAACTCTTTGGAGTTATTTTATAGCCAAAAAAAATAAAAAATAAAATAAAGAAAAGGAAGTAAATGTTAAAACACCTGTTCATTACATGTCATTTTATATGTGCTGAATTGTCTTATCCTCCCTTCCCCTTCTTATGTTCAATACTAATGGCCTGTTGCACAAATTTGTGCACATTGAAAGGAAATTAATTAGAAGAAGTATTTTAATATTATTTGCCCTTTCTCTATAATAGAAGTATCAACCAAATTCATGATCACAGTGACAGATTGAAACACACATGTGCGATTGGTGCCAGCTAGAGCTTTATATATATTGCGCATGCACGAGCCAACTTAGCCATTTATATATAGAATAAACTTGTTTAATTAGACCTGTTTTCTGATTTAACTGAACTTTTCCAAGCCCAGTGAAGCACCCCAACTTCTCTTTCAGATAATTGTCAGCAACACAGCAGTAAATAGCAACACAAAACATTGTTATTGTAGCTCACGCAGGGAGAAAAAAGGGTAAAATATTTAACTGCAGCAGTATTTGACTATATTCTGCACAGTGACAAAACCTGAAGTCATTTTCAAGGTCCACAATTTCTTACTTTTCAGTCAGGTCAAGTTTCTAAACTTTCTAAATTTCTGTTTTCTGGCTAATGAAAAGAAAATAGTATTGCACTGAGTCTCCTAGCTACCTACTCCAGAACTTCTGTGAGGATCAAATGAGATGTGGCATGGGAAAATACTTCACATAAATTTGGTTAAAGTGTAAAATGTTTGTATCTAGCTATAAAGCAAGTTGTGTCCTTGGACTGAAGAAACTCCAAGGATGCTAGTCACTAGGGAGAGGAAGCTGGGCATTGCTACATGATGTCATTACCTAGTGCCCACAGCAACTGTTTCCAGGCTGGGCTGGGGGTTGCATTTTGCACATGGGATCTTGGCAGCATTGGCTGCGGATTTGGTAGTGTATAGTCTGGGGTGGTAGTGGGGCCTGTGTCCCACTTCGAGGAAGCTGAATGTTCGTTGGTGCCAGGTTTATGGTGCTGTTTCTCTGTAAATGGCCAGTGCACATGGCTGCTCCTGCTTTGAGTGTCTGCCCCCCTGGTGGTCATTGGAATTGGTTGGACTGTTAGAATGGCACTTAGCATGTTAGCCTTTTATATAGAGAGATTCCTTATAGTTAGAGAGCTGCAGTTGGACCAAGGGAAGTAGGATAATGGTTGGTTCATTAGTAACTTCAGGACCTTAAGGGGGATTTGTGTTCAATCCTTTGCCTAAAAAGAATAAGTCAACAAAGTCACTCATGATAGTTCAATAAATCCAGTTAACTGAAAAGCAGTCAGAGATTTATATTGTTCCACTTTTGTTTGATTGTTGAGTAATTTTGGAAAATGTTTCCCTTTGTGCTAGGCCTCAGGGAATAAATGGTTAACAGGAGAGAAGGGATAGTTGTTGAGTAGACAGTCATTAGGAAGGCAGTGTAGCATGGTGCTTAGAAAACACAGGCTGTGGAATCAGGCAGACCACATTTGGATCACAGTTCCTTTATTTGCAAAGTGGGTATAATAATAGGTATTACATATTTCATAAAGTTATGAAAGCACTTAGGACAGTGACTGGTAAATGTAGCTACCCTTACTCTATTGCTGTTAGGTAATCAGGGAAGAATATGATGAAAACATCTTGGTGACCTCATAGAAAGTTCCTTTAGGTTGTGTTGGTAAGTTATCTTGCCAGGCAGATTATCATATGGCTTATTAATTCATGTAACCAACCTCCCTTCCTTCCCTTTCTCCTTCCTTGCTTCCTTCCCTCCTTTTCTTCCTTTTCCTCTCCTTTTTTCTATTGAATTACAGTCACTAATATACAGCAAACACCTATGTAAAGTATATAATTTTGTAAGTTTTGATGTATATGTCAAAATATATGTCTCTGAAACCATCATTAAAATCATGATGGTGAATATATTCATCACTTCCGAAATTACCTCATGCCCTTCCTCGTGTTTTTCACCACTTTTCCTGTTCACTGTCCCATATACCCAAGTAGCCACTGTTCTGCTTTCTGTCACGATAGATTACTTTATATTTTCTAGTGTTTTAAAGAAATGGAATCATAGTAGTATATGCTTTCATTTGATTATTTTGAGATTCACCTATTTTTTATGTATTAATAGTTCATTTTTTAAAATTCTGAGTAGTATTCTTTTGTATGGTTAATAACTTTCCTTTTTTCAAATCACAAGATTCAGTAATATTTTTGGGGGGACATTACAAACCTATTTTCAATTCTATAGTTATATATTGAGTACATGATATATTTAAGGCTCTGTACAAAGAGCAAAGAATATTAGAGGGTACAAAATTATATCTGGTCCTTACCCTCAAGAAGTTGACAGTATAATTTTATAGATAATGAATATGTGAGAAATAATAATTCAAAGAGGAACTATGAGTGAAATAAAAAATTCAATGGGTGTTCAATTGGAGAAATTTTTGCCCATGGAGGATGATTGGGTTGGTGGCTTTGGACTGATAAAATATAGAGGGAAGGGAACAAAAATCACATGAGTAAAGAGGTCTAAGTGTTGAAAGTTCTGAGCATATTCGGTTTAAGTAGTCTACTTTAAGTGGGACTTTGAGTGCATAAGCAGGTAACCTGGAGAAGTAAAGTAGAAATAGTCATAAAAGACTCAGTTGCCATGCCAAAGCAGCTCTATTTATTTAGTAATTAGTGGGAGCCTTGGGCATAGTTTTGAACAGTGGCATGATGGTATTAGGGCCAGTGTCTTAGCTTAAAAAAGAAAATTTAGCATAATACTGTTTGTAGCATACCTTTATTTGAAACTTAATATGTCTTCGTTCCTTTAAAAAGTGTGAAGCTTTTATAAAATTTAAATAGAGATATTAAATATTTATAATAACAACTTTCAGAATTTAATTAAATTTAAACTAATTACTTTGTATTGTCCATTTTAAAGTCTTTAAACCTATTTTGGTTTAAGTTGAGGTATAGCATAAATATAGAAATGACATTGGTTACTCTTAGTTACTTCTGACCCCTTTTATAATGTAATTATTGCTTAGGTCTAGTATGGATACAAAAGTGAAAATGAACCACATAGCTAAATATGTTGTCCTTTGTTTTCCTCTTAGGATAGTTCTCACTCTTCCTGCCTTTTCTGGTCTGTCCTTAGGACCCAACCCTTGAGAGAATGGAAGGGAAAATGGGCTTTTTAAAACCATGGCTGCTGTAGGGTTCTGATTAGGGTAGCAAAAATTAATGTTTGGTGTTATGATTTAAATCAAGGAAGGTGAAGTGTATGATGTGACCACTCTAGCTCTGTTCCATTCCACCACCACTTCTATCCTCTCCTTGTGCTTCCCTTCTCTGCATTGAATGCAGCTACAGAATATTTTCAGGCAGTACTTCTCCACCTAGATGGAGGGCTCTACTTCTCTACTTGGGGCCTGACACAGAATATTCTTGTTAAATTCAACTTTTACAACTGACTTTTTGCTTGAGGTTTCAAAACCATAGCAACTACTAAAGGAGGAAGATGGAAAACCCCTGTATTCATCTTTCTCTTTGATTTAGACCACTCATCTTATCCTATTCTTCTGAATAGTTACTCACCTATTAAAGAACTAAGAATAAAACCTGAACCCTCATACAATAAGAATAGGTTTCCAGTCATTGAAAATAGCTTGCTTAGCTGCATAAGTAAAGGATGTGTCCATTAACTTACTTTTCCATTGCAGGGGACTTGTACGGTGCTATTGGCTCTCCTGTAAGGTTAGCAAGAACTGTGGTAGTTGGCAAACGACAAGACATGGTCCAGAGGCTGCTTTATTTTCTTACTTATTTCATAAGATGCTCTGAACTTCAAGAAACCCATCTTTTAGAAAACGGAGAAGATGAAGCCATTGTTATGCCAGGCACAGTAATTACAACCACGTTAGAGAAAGGTGAAATAGAAGAATCTGAATATGTGCTTATCACAATGCATAGAAACAAAAGCAGTTTGCTCTTTAAAGAGTCAGAAGAAACAAGGACTCCTAATTGTAACTGTAAATATTGTAGTTGTCCACTCCTTGGGCAAAATTCAGAGACTGTTTTGAGAAAAGAGAGGGAAGATATTCAAAACAGCTCTAAGGAGTTGCTAGGAATTACAGATGAGTGTGGAATGATTTCTCCTCCTGACTGCCAAGAAGAAAATGCTGTTGATATTGAACAGTGCAGAGATAAATTAAGAGCTTGCCTTGACACCAAGTTAGAGACAATTGTTTGCACAGCATCTGCTCCAGTTGACAAATGTGCATTGTTGAAATCAGGCTTAGAACCAGCAGAAGAAACATGGCAGAGTGATGAATTGCTGGATTCCGGTAATCACACAGGCAAGGTGCTGAGACCCACAGGAATGATTGTGGAAAAAAAACCACCAGATAAGCTTGTGACTACTGCATTTTCTTGTGAGGCAAACCAGACAAAGGTTACTTTCTTGATTGGGGATTCTATGTCACCTGACTCAGATACTGAACTCAGAAGTCAGGCTGTGGTGGATCAGATTACCAGGCATCACACCAAACCACTGAAAGAAGAAAGAGAGGCTATTGATCTGCATCAAGAAACTAAACAAACAACTAAGGACCAATCTAGAGAGTCCGATATACCAATGGTTTCTGGAGAGCACTGTGAACTTCCCTGTTGGAATCATTCAGACCCAGAAAGCATGAGCTTATTTGATGAATATTTTAATGATGATTCCATTGAGACCAGAACTATTGATGATATCCCAGTTAAAACAAGTACAGATAGTAAAGAACACTGCTGCATGTTAGAGTTTTCAAAAAGATTATGTACACAAAATAGCAAACAGAACAATGAACTTTGTAAATGTGTAGAAGCAGTTCATCAAGATTCATGTAAAACCTGCTACCCTCAGCAGGACCAAAGAGGTGCACTCTCCCTTCTTGTCCCCCATGGGGATAAAGAGAGTTCAGAGAAAAAAAATGCTGTAGGAATTGAATGGGACATTCCAAGAAATGAAAGTTCAGATAGTGCCCTTGGGGATAGTGAAAGTGAAGATACAGGTCAGGATATGACTAGACAAGTAAGCAGTTATTATGGAGGAGAGCAAGAAGATTGGGCAGAAGAAGATGAGATACCTTTTCCTGGGTAAGTAGGAAGTTTTGATCTATAATAGGCCTTATGTTGATATGTCCCATTGTTTTATTTAGTTTGTCTCTAAAGGTTGGTAGTAGCTAATATGAAAGACGATCATCATTCTGGACGATTATGTTATCATGTCCTATTACTCATAGGAAAGATTAAAGGCTAAGCCCCACAGGCACTTCAGGAAGGCTTTGTGGAGGCAGTAGAGAAAAGTAATGTTGGTGTGTAGGAGACTTCTTAGGAGTTTTCAAGCCATTCAAGAGTAAATAATCATGCTCCAAAAAGGAACCTATGCTGGGCTGGCAACTAGGGAGAATCACTGAGAAGGTAATAAATGGCTGTTACAAATAAGTTTGGCCAACACTAAGAGGAAAACAGGGAATAAATGTAATATTCTGGGTCAAATGTACAAGAAGATTCATATTTGAAAAAAGTTAGAAAGCAAACTTTGGGTTTGTGAGATATTTAACTACTTTGTGTTGGATGATGGTTTTCATAATCTGATTGTATTAAGAATCTGTTACATAAGGGACAGCATTCCTAAAGTCTATTATGAAAGACTTATTACTCACCTCATTACAAAGTTGTTCATCAGACCCTCTTCTCTGGAGTATTTTGTGGATCTGACTGGACTTTTTTTCTAGGTCAAAGTTAATTGAAGTGAGTGCTATTCAGCCCAACATTGCCAATTTTGGAAGGTCCTTGTTAGGTGGCTACTGTTCGTCTTACGTGCCTGACTTTGTTCTTCAAGGAATTAGTAGTGATGAGAGGCTCCGTCAATGTCTGCTGTCAGATTTGTCCCACGCTGTACAGGTTAGTGACCATCACTGCTCTTAAATTTATTTAGAATGAACTCTTAACCAGTGGAACCCAGAATCACCTTATATTTTTATTACACTTCACTGTAATACAATCATTGTTCTCTGAATCAGTTACTTTCTCTAATAACTGTTTATATCTGACACCATGAAAGTGAGTAGAGCGTTACAATATCAAGTTATCACTAGATTATATCAATAAAATCGCAAATGCTTAAATGTGAATAGAATTATTTTCTTAATTTTATTTTCATTTTATTTTTTGCTAGATTATAGAAGTACAATTGATTTATGTATGTTCATCCTGAACTCTTTTATTAGTTTTTGTAGTTCCTTTGTAGATTCTTTAGGATTTTGGTACGCACAAGCTCATGTCATCAATAGACAGTTTGACATTTTTTTTAGCCTAGAACCTCCATACAATGTTGCCAGAAGTACTGAGAGTAGACATCCTTGTCTTGCTCTTATTTTAGAGAGAAAACATTTAGTCTTTTATTAATAAGTATGATGTTAGCTATAGGCTTCTTACAGATGCCCTTTATCAGGTGGAGAAAATTCCCTTCTCTTCCTAATTTTTCGATCTTTTTTGGTCCTTCTCCCCTTTTAAATCATGAATAGGTATGAGATTTTTTAGGTGTCAATTGAAACACATATGATTTTTCATTTCTTCTTTAAACTGTTAATCAAGATTACATAGATTCATTTTTAGATGAAAAACCAACCCTTTGTATTTTGGCCGGGGGGGAGGGCGGAGAGCGATTCCACTTGGTCATGGTATATATAGTACTTTTTATGTGTTGACTGGTTTTGACTTATTAATATTTTATTGTGAATTTTGAAGTCTATGTTCATAAGAGATATTCATCCATTTTTTTCTTGTGATGTTTTTGTCTAGTTTTAATATAAGAATAATACTAGCCTTATAGAGTGAGTAGGGGGAAAGTGTCCCCTTCTCTTTCTCTTCAGATTCTCTGGAAGATTGTTGTTGCTTTTATTTGTTTCCTCTAAGTGTTTGATAGAATTTACCAGTAATGCCATCTGGGTCTAGAAGACATTTTCCTTTTCAAATACAGGTGCTTAAAGCTAGAAAAAAATTTAATGAGAATATGTTACTTTATATGATTTATTTTTTATTGATTGATTTTTAGAGAGGGGGAGAGGAAGAGAGGGAAAGAGAAACAGAAACATCCATTTGTTGCTTCACTTATTTATCCATTCACTAGAGTCTTGGTGCACGAAATTCATGCACCATGTGGGGGGAGGTTTCCTCAGCCCGGCCTACACTCTCTCCAATCAGGGACCCCTTGGGGGATGTCCGACTGCCGGGCATCATGCCTAAACAGGCAGTCGGACATCCCTCTCACAATCTGGACTGCTTACTGTTAACTGCTTGCCTGCCTTTTTACCTCTAACCACTTCTGCCTGCCAGTCTGATCACTCCCTAACTACTCCCCTGTTGACCTGATTGACACCTAACTGCTCCCCTGCTGTTTTGATTGCTCCCAACTGCCCTCCCCTGCCAGCCTGATCTCAACCCCAACTGCCCTCCCCTGCCAGCCTGATCTCAGCCCCAATTGCCCTCCCTTACTGGTTTGATCTCGCCCCCCAACTGCCCTCCCCCGCTGGTCTGATGGCCCTCAACTGCCCTCCTTTGCTGACCTGATTGCCCCTAACTGCCTCTGCCTGCCTGATATACCCCAACTGCCCTCTCCTGCCAGCCTGATCTTGCCCCCAACTACTCTCCTCTGCTGGCCAATTTGGTTTTGACTGGTTGGTTTCTATGCTAGTCAGGATCAAAAGCTCCACCTCCTAGGCAGCCATTGGCTCCTCACAGTTCATGCAGATTTGGTTCTGATTGGTCAGTTTCTATTCCAGTCAGTGTCTCTGGGCCTATCATTGGGGCCTGATCAGAAAAATGGAGCTGATCAGCAGCCCCAGTGGAGGCCTGGAGAAAAATGGAGGCACAGCTACTGCCCAGGCCCGGAGAGAAAGAGAGAGGCAAGTGCTGATCAACAGCTGCCACAGAGGCTATGGATCAGACCCTGCTTCTCTCTTCAGGCCTCTCTCTGGGCCTGATTTGCAGCCCCCTCAGCAATCAGTGCTGGTTCATTGCACCTGCTTCTGTAGCAGTCAGTGCTGGGTCACCATGGCAATCCAGCACTGACTGCAGGACTGACTTCCGATTGGTAGAGCCTCTGATCGTGATGGACAGAGTTTTTGTATATTAGGATTGGTTGCTAATTGTAAGTGCCCTGATTGGACATCAAACCTGCAACCCTGGTGTGCCTGGACCACACTCTAACCAACTAAGCACTCAGCCAGGGTCAAATGAGAATATTATATATATTTTTATTGACTTTAGAGAGGAAGGGAGAGGGAGAGAGAGCTAGAAACATCAGTGATGACAGAGAATCATTGATTGGCTGCTTCCTCCACGCCCCCCACTGGGCATCAAGCCCACAATTCAGGCATGTGCCCTTGCCCGGAATTGAACCTGAGACCCTTCAGTCTGCAGGCTGATGTTCTACCCACTGAGCCAAACCTGCTAGGGCCCAGATGAGAATATTTTAAATTGCTAATTCAATTTCTTATTATAGATCTATTCTGATTTTCTTTTTCTCCCTGAGTCAATTTTGGTGATTTTTGTCTTTCTAGAAATTAGTTTCAATATATTGGAATAAAGTTGTTCATAGTATATACTTATAATCCTTTTCATTTCTATAAGGTCTCTGGTTATGTCCCCTCTTTTATTTGTGATTTTTGTAATCTGTATTGTTCCATTTTTTTCATCCCATAAAGGTAGAGGATTCTCTGAAGAAGAGTTCATTCATGCCTTGATTTCATTAGTAGGTACTTTTGGCCCACATACATCAAACATCAGCAAGCAGTGGACCGTAGTACAAATACACTTGCTTTCTATAAAAATAGTTTTATTGAAATGTGACCACACCCATTTATTTATATATTCTATGACTATTTTTCTGCTTTGACAGCAGAATTGAGTCATTGAAACAGTGATCATACATCTCCTAAAGCCAAAAATATTCTCTATCTGGTTCTTTCCAGGAAAGGTTTGCTGATTCTTAGTCTAGCTTAGGGATTTTTGATCTTTTAAGGAAACAATTTTTGTCTTAATTGACATTTTTCTGTAATCATTTTATATTTCATTGTTTTCTATCATTTTATTATTTCTTTCTTTCTAATTGCTTCGGGTTTAGTTTGCTCTTTTTCTAGCTTCTTAAGGTAAAAGCCTATGTTATTTCAAACATTTTTTTTTCTTTTCAAATATAATCGTTTTAAAGTTAGAAAATTTCCTTCTAAACACTTTTTTAACTGAGTCTCATAAATTTTGATGTTGTGTTTTCATTTGCATTCACTTCAAAGTATTTTATAATTTGACCCATGGGTTATGTAGAAACATGATGCTTTCTTTCTAAATGTTTGTGAAATTTTTTAATTTCCTTTTATTATTGCTCTCTAAATTAGTTTTATTGTGGTCAGACAGGATACTTTTAAACTTACTAAGACTTGTTTGATGGCCCAGCATGTGGTCTATCCTGGAAAATGATCCATGTGCATTTATTTATTTAAAAAATATATATTTTTTAATTGGTTTCATCAGTGATGAGAGGGAATCATTGATTGGCTGCCTCCTGCACTTTGGACTTGAGCCCACAACCCAAGCATGTGCCCTTGACTAGAATAAAACCTGGGACCCTTCGATCTGCAGGCCGATGCTCTTATCTACTGAGCCAAACTGGCTAGGGTGGTCCTTGTACATTTAAAGAATTGTTGGGCAGAGCGTTCTCTAGATGTTAGGTCAAGTTGCTTGATAACCTATGTCCTAGCTGATTTTCTGTCTAGTTGTTCCATCAGTTATTGAGGGTGGATATTGGAGTTTCAAACTGTTGCTGAATTTTCTATTTCTCCCTTCAATTCTATATGTCACTTTAATAAGTTTTTGTTTTAATAAAACTTTACTTCTTTTCATCCAACTACCCATAATCATTAAAAAGGAAATGAAGAAAGCCATCTAGGAAAAAATGAGTGAGAAATTCGACTCAGTGAGCTAGCAGACAATTGTTAGTCAAAAAGGTTTAAACTGTGTCTGTAGAAAATTAAAGTTGTACATTTTAATGCTTTATTATATAGTAGGGAATATGGTAAATCCAGGAAAACTTAGTCACACTCACATTCTTTATATTTAAAAAGCTATATTGCTCAACCTTTTAATATCAATACTTATTGACTTTCTAAGAAATAGTTTCTGACCTCAAGTTACTTAGTAATGGAGAAAATAAGGGAAGTAAATGAATAAGTGTAGTACAACATAAAAAAACAAATACTTGAAGAAGGTTTAGAAAGTAATGCTTCAGAAGAAACAATTTATATCAGTGGATGGTATTTGCTCTTCTGGGTGAAGGAACTATTTCTATATTTTCAATTCTGTCCTCCCAGTGCCTAATATAGTGCTGAGTAAGTACTTGATTAGGAAATCCCATGTGGGTCCTTGAAATGCTCTGTGTTTTCTTGTCTTTCCTTATGCTTGATCTTAGTCACTCAGTCTCTTTTCTTCCTCCATCTATACCCATTACCATACATGGTGCTCTTTATTGTTCTCTCTGAAAGCCTGACAATGGATGGGGTTACTGTATCCTATTGAAGACAAAGCATATTGGTGTTGAGTTGCTACCTGCTAAATACTAGGGAAGAAAAGTAATAGTAATAAGCATTTAGTATTTATTGTGTTCCTAGTGTGTATTAGACACTTAAATGTAATACCTCATTTAATCTTATAATAATCCCCGTAGTACTTATTATTATTATCATTACTCTTATATTTCAGGTATAGATAGGTAATGGCAGTCCTGATCTTAATTAAGCCTGTTCTTTTGTCTTTTCTTAAAAAAATGTATTTTATTGATTTTTTAAAGAGAGGAAGGAAGAGGGATAGAGAGTTAGAAACATCAATGAGAGAGAAATATCAACCAGCTGCCTCCTGCACATCCCCCATCAGGGATGTGCCCACAACCAAGAAACATGCCCTTGACCAGAATCGAACCCGGGACCCCTCAATCTACAGGCTGATGCTCTATCTGCTGAGCAAAACCGGTTTTGGCAATTATGTCTGTTCTTACTCTATGCTTCTAAACTTGTGTGCCATACTGTCTCTAAAATAGATGAACAAAGGTTACTTCAAATGCAAAATTGGCATTACAAAGCTTGCAAGACTTTTTCATTAGTAGTCCCATTCTATTGCTCTTGGAGCCTTTTCACTATGGAAATAAATAAATAAATTAAATAAATAAATAAATAAATAAATATTTTGTCTTCTGCCATCTATTTCAGTAACTGGGTTTCTAGTGTTTCATATTTTACACACACACACACACACACACACACACACGTATACATATATGCAATTTTTAAAATATTTATTGTTGAAAGTATTACAGCTGTCCTCTTCCCCCTCCATGTGGCTCCTGCCTCCTCCCCAGGCCTTAACTGCACTATTATGTGTCCATGGGTTATGCATATATGTGCATAAGTTCTTCAGTTAATCTCTTTCCACACCCTCACCTATGCCTTCCTCTGAGATTTGTCAGTCTGTTCCAAGATTCTATATCTTTGGATCTATTTTGTTCAACAGTTTATTTTGTTCATTAGATTCCACATATGTGTGAGATCATGCGATACTTGTCTCTGACTGGCTTATTTCGCTTAGTATAATACTCAGTTCAGGTTCCTCCGCATTGTCTCAAAGGGTTATCCATTCGGGAATTGTCCATATTTCTCTCCCTATTATCATCAGCAATCCTAGCTATACTTCAGTGTCATATCCCTATGTCCCTTCTACTGTGAAACTCCCAGTCACACAGAACTTCCTGTTTCCCTCTTATACTACCCCAGCACTTGGTTTCTATTTCACCTGTTACATGTCTTTTTATTTATTTAAAAAAATTTTTTTAAATATGTTTTTATTGATTTCAGAGAGAAAGGGAAAGAGATAGAAACATCAATAATGAGGGAAAATCATTGATTGGCTGCCTCCTGCCTGTCCCATATTAGGGATTGAGCCCAAACCCAGGCATGTGCCTGACTGGGAATCAAACCTTGACCTCCTGGTTCATAGGTTGATGCTCAACCCAGGTCAATGGCTGGGCTATACTTCTCTTTTTATAGCTAGGTGTATTTCTATTTATCTTTCTCATAAGACTGTGAGCTTCATTTTCTTTTTCCTTAGCATCAAACAAAAAGATTTATTTAAAGCGATTGTTCATTAACTGCACAAAGGAATATCCTTTGAGTGCCAAATCTGGGTTTATCCAGGAGGAAACTAACATTCTTAACTATAAAATTGTAATAACATAAAACTTGAAAGGAAAAAGGCTATTGGGTTCAAGTATTTCAAATTATTACTTATGTCTCAGTCTTATTGCTGCTAATCTGGTTTATGGCCAGTGTTGAAGAAATTCTTACTTTTCCAAAGATAGAATTATGTTGAAGTATTGAGCATTGTAGGGCTCATCACCTCTTTTTGATAGTGGTACTGTGACATAATTGCTTTTGGTCCTTATGTGTAAACTATAGGAAGTCATGAGCACAGCCATGTGCCTATGGTCCTATTATGATATCAGTATATGTGAGTTAAAAATACTTTTTACTGTGCATTAAATTCTCTAATTTTAAAATTGTTGTTTAGGTAAATGCTTGTGATAGAAATGCAAACAATATAAAGATATACAAAGCAAAGATAAAAGTTGTTCTTTAAAATCTTAATATTCCATACTTATTTAGAGATCTTTATGATAAATAGTTTGAGTATTTTTTTTTTCTATTAGCTATAGATCTATATTTTTAAAAATGTAACTAGGGTATAATATGTGTGTGTGTGTGTGTGTGTGTGTGTGTGTGTGTGTAGAGGGACTTTGATTTCCATTTAGCCATATGAGTATCTGTTGACTTGTTTCCTTTTAACTTCTGTATTCATACTCTGGATATACATCTTGGTAAAAAAGAAACATCTAGTGAATATAGCCAGCAGGGTACTTCATGTGATCAAGGAATGGCCCCTGAGGTGCTCAAGCAAATTAATGCCTGACAGGTTTGGATATTTAGCACAGAATCTTAACATTGACTTGTTCCTGTCAATCCCTATCCTATATATTTTAAAAGTAGTTAGCTCTTTCTTACAATTAAAATTTTCTTACAATTGCCTGGCACATGGTTGGTACTCAGTAAATTTGTTGAATGAATAAATGGTTAAAAGATCAGTGAAAGTCAAGTTCTGGATTAAAGACTACAAGATTCTGGTAATGCATCTTTCCACTTATGATGATTGGCAGTACCTGTCATAATTAAAATTCTTTTATTCTAGTTGCATTTCATATCTCTTCCTTGTCTCATTCCATTAGCATTATCTTTGAAAATTTCATTTGCTCACTGTAAGATGAATTCTTCTTTTTCCCCCCTGCAGCATCCAGTGTTGGATGAACCAATAGCAGAAGCTGTCTGTATTATAGCAGATATGGATAAATGGACTGTGCAAGTGGCCAGTAGCCAGAGACGAGTGACAGATAATAAACTGGGAAAGGAAGTATTGGTTTCCAGTCTTGTTTCCAATCTGCTTCATTCCACTCTTCAGCTTTATAAACATAACTTGTCTCCAAATTTTGTAAGTGTATCTAAGGCTTGAATTTGAGCACTGTAATAGGTGACTAAACTATTTAGTATGTGCCTACATTGAACCACTACTGTTAGCTTCTTCATTGTTTTCCTGAAAGAAGGTGTTTGTGTTCCTGTAAAGGCCCATGTGTTGGATCCCTAACCTCCAATGTGATGATGCTATTTGGAGATGGGTCTTTTGGAGTTAATTAGGGTTAAGTAATTAATTAGATAATGAGGATGGGGTCCTCGTGATGGGATTAGTGGCCTTCTAAGAAGAGGAAAAGAGAAATTGCATTCTCTCCACCATGAGAGGACACAGGGACAAAACAGTTGTCTGTCAGTCAGGAAAAGAGTTCTCACTAGAACCCGACCATACTGGCACCCTGATCTCAGACTTGAGATCAGTGTGCAGATGATGTCTTACTGAGTTGTACACTTATAACTTGTATGTTCTGCAAACTGTCGTTACCCCAATAAATTCAGTTTTTAAAAAAAATGTGCTCCAAATTATAGTTTATGTTGGAGTAACTAAATAGAATTGTCAAAATGCTTCCAAATTGCCATCACTTAGAATTGGACACAATTTTTTTACCTGTTTCTTGGTTTCCCCTAACTGCAGTGTGTAATGCATCTTGAAGACCGGTTACAGGAGCTGTACTTCAAAAGCAAAATGCTGTCTGAGTACCTGAGGGGCCAGATGCGAGTTCATGTCAAGGAGCTGGGAGTGGTTTTAGGGTATGTTCATGGTTTCTTTTCTGGCTTTCACATTGTGCTGTCTTTTTTTTAATTTTTTTAATTACTTTATTAAGGTATCACATATTTGTCCTCAACCCTCCATTCTAATCCACCCCCTCTCATGCCCCCACCTCCCTATTGTCCTGTCCCCCACTGCCGCCACCAGTTGCCTCCCTCTGCGGGAGGCGACTGGCAGGATGGTGGGGGAGGGGAGGGACAGTGCTGACCCACTTGCTGACTGGCCTGCCCCTTGATGTTCCCTGTCACCTCCCTCTGTGGGGTGACCTGCAGGGCAATTGGGGGACTCCCACTGGCACCCGCCTTGGCTGGCCTGGGGTCTGTGGGCTGGGGGCAGCTCCTGTGTTGAGCATCTGCCCCCGGTGGTCAGTGCACATCATAGCTACGAGTCGTTCCACCAGTGGTTCTGCCATTCAGTCAATTTGCATATTATATAGAATATTGTATTTCTTAGATTTCTTGCCTGATGCATGGTCCATCAGCAGGTCAGTGAGATGCTTTCCTACACCCATGACTTCAACATTGGGTTTCAGATCCTTTTTTTAATAAAATATTTTTATATGTTTTTATTGACTTCTGAGAGAGGAAGGGAGAGGGAGAAATAGAAACATCAATGATGAGAGAGAATCATCCATTGGCTGCCTCCTGCATGCCTCCTAATGGGGATTAAGCTCACAACCCGGGCATATGCCCTGACTGGGAATCGAACTGTGACTTCCTGGTTCATGGGTTGATGCTCAACCACTGAGCCACATTGGCTGGGTTGATGTTTTTTTGTTTTTTTTTTAAACTTTGGTTCTTCTTTTTTACTGACTGAAATATTTCCAACTGTCATTATCTTCAGTTCTCTTACCTTTTTCTTTTGGCCAGCGTCACCTGGGTCCTTTATGACTGAGGTATAGTAACTTGGGTACAGAAAGCCTGACTGAGATGTTTTTTTTTTTTCTCTTAATTTCAGGATTGAATCCAGTGATCTTCCTCTTCTGGCTGCTGTAGCAAGCACTCACTCTCCATATGTTGCCCAGATACTCCTTTAACATAAAGATTGTTTGGAACGTTAAATAGATAATAAGGAAGCAGACATACATGCATTATGGCATTCCCCCCCCCCCCCATTAGATTCCGATCTGAATGAGTCAGTCACCTGTGTATCCTGCATTACAGTGCATATTGTGTGTTCATTGGATGGATCGTTTTTTCTTTTTGACTGGACTTTTTGGGTGGAATTAGATTTTTAACCCAGTGGAACTAAAGCAGCATATGTAACACGGGGGAAAACATTTAGAAAGGCCAAAGTATAACTTAGAAAATTATATAAAATGAATGACATTGAGGATTTTTATATGATCCACTACAGTGTTCCCGCAACTCATAAATAGCAACAGATGTCTCATGATTAAATGACTCACAAACAGTCATTTCATTAGTTTTAATTCTTTATTTCTAAGGTACATAGGTTTATAAAACCTTGATTATTTCTTATATTGTCAATTCAAAATAGTTAATTTGGGGGTATTTTTCAAAGTGTTTTAAGTAATCTGTTAATTATAAGAAACTTAGAAGAATGAGTGTAAATTTGTGTTATGTTACCCACCCAAGTGTACATATGTATCTAGTTTTTTAAACAAGCAGAAGTAGAAATATAAGATTGGTAAATATAATTTTTTTTTCCAACCAGTTTCATTGTATATAATGTTGAAATGTTACTTTGTGGTGATTTTCCTGTTTCACACACCCTAAAATATAAGTAAAGCCAATTGCTTTTTTCAGGCTGATGAATGTAAATTCCCAAAAAAGTAGTACTTTATATTATTTGTTTATAAGTATAAGCTAATTCTTATAAATGTTAATATTAACATATTTGTACCTAATTTAATAAATTAAAATTAGGATTAAAAATTGTACCAAAGTATTGGCAAAAATATTTTCTTCAAAAGTGCTCAGGTAGTCCAGGCTCTTGCTTTTGGCATTAGCCATCCTTGAACCCATGGGAAATATTTTCTTTGTTTCACTGCTTTATAATATTCTATTTACACTAAATTGAACTCATTAATTCTTAAAATTATTCCCGTTTCTTGATTTTCCCTTCTTCCAAAAGCTATCCCCCTCTCCCAACCAGGGATTTTTACTTTTTAATTGTTATTCTGTATATACTGTAGAGTGTTGCTTCTGAGAAAGGCTAACATGGAACCAAACTCTTGTAAATAGTGTAAATAAAGATAATGGGTAAGTAAAGTTTTCAATATGCTCTACTACCTCAGTTTACTTGAATACTACATTATAGTTTATTCTTTAATTACCTGGTCTAAGATACTTTAATTCTAGAAGTGAAGTTGATTTTTGCTTTCTTGCATATTTTTATCATAATTGGTTAGCTTTAAAAAAGAAACTACTTGCTTATCCTATTAATAAATATTTTCTATATAATACATTCATTCTTGCTGTTTCAATAATTAAGAACGATTTTTGTGGTTTAAGCTTTGACTTTTAATTTATAGTGGTGGGTCTCATTTTGCCTTGCTCTCTATGTATGCAAGAACTCTCCAACCTATATTTAAGAAGAAATTATTGTTTTAATGGAATGTAAATCTGAAATTGGTATGCCTGCAATCCGTTTGGCCTCTGTGTCCTTTCAGCTGGCCCCAGTTAGTGCTGGAGTCTCCCATGGATGACTTGCTGCCAAAGAATGTTTATGGATATATTTTCATTTGCTTAATATTCATATTCCATTCATTAATGAAATTATTCACTATTTTATTGTTTGGAATTTTATAAATCAATCTCTTGGCAGAATCAGAATATAGAAAAGTTCATATGTGGGTCATTGTACATTATGTTTTGTAGTTTAGAATGATATATAGCAGATAGATAATGTCTGTTTTGCATGTTTTTTTAAGTAATCATCAAGCTATTCACAGTCCTATCTATTTGAAATCTAATAAATTATTTAGAAAATTCAGTCTTCAATAAATGGATGTTTCATGCTACTGTTACTCTTAAAGCTTTGCTTGGAAAGAAAAGGCCTATAGTTTCTTATAGAATTATTAATCCTTATAGGATTCCTGAGCTTTACAATTTCCAGCCCTTCTGTAATTTCTGTTACCTTCATCATAGTCATTTTTTCCTTACACAAAGACCATGGAGTAAGCTGCTGCTGCTTTTAAAATATGGTCATTATGATGAATGTGAAAGTTTTGGACTGTTTGAAATACTTTTTCAACTTCTTATGGTACAGATAGACATGTGTTACATATTTTTAAAAACCTGTTTGTTGCAATAGAAAATAAAAAAGGGATCTTTTACATTACAGATTTAAAATATTTTTTCCTTTCATATAAGCTAATTGGTTTGATTTTAAATATTATTGGCTTTTATTAATATGTCTTAATTTTGAGCTTGAAATTGTTAAGTGCAATAATCATACCAGCACCAATTTAATTTTGTTCCAATTGGCATACACTGGGAATGATCACTTAAAAAAAAAAAAAGGGTTTTACACAATGTCTATTTCTGGTAGATGTTCTTCTGCTTTCTTTAAGTTATTTAGATGGTGGGATAAATGTACATACTGTTTCTTGTTCTGTATACATTTCTCAAATGTGCACCTGTATTATAATAACCTCCCAATCCTAGGGGAAATTTGTGCAATAAATACACATGTCAATTTGAAGTATGATGTTGATTTTTCTTTCATGTATCTGATGTCTGGATTCTTTTTTTCAGATGTGACACTTGTAGGCATGTAACCTTGTTTATAATGTCCTCTTTTAATCATAAATTTATGTTTTGGCAATTTTGTACAATCTATGAGGTTGAGAATCAAGTGAAAAAATGAAATGTCAGGAATTTATCTTAATGCCTGGCATACTCCAAGTACTCATTAATTTGTGGCTGCTACTGTTTCTAAGCAATCTGTCCAGCCTCCTCTCTATGGCCCCACCTGTTGTGGGGAGAATTCAACATACAGTGTTCCAAATGAAAATGTAACATAAAAATACTGGTATATTTGACCTAATCCTTACGATGGCAAATTGAAATTTTCTTTAAATGCTTTTATTAAAAGAAACTGAAAATCACTTAAAATCTAGAAAAAGCCATGTAAATGTTTTAACGAACATTGTATCCAATACAAATGACTATTGACTTTACAATTAAAAATTGGCCAGTTGTTTTGGGTTCTAATTCTGATTTGCATTTGACTCAGCAAGTCTGTCCTCTTATCTACATACATTGTAGGGAAGTCTGCTCTTCCATCTGTCCTTAGTGTCTGCGCTGCAGCAGTGATTCAGCCCTGAGTAGGCTGTTGGGAAGCTGCCTTAGTCAGGCTGGGTTGATTTGGGCAAGAGGCAGGATTAGACTGGGGGCTTTTTGTAGTGCCTGTTTTCATATCGTGTTACACTTATCACTCTTACATTTGACCAAAGAGAGTTAAGTGCACTGTTTTAAAGCAGAGGAAATAGCAAATATTTGAGAAGCATCCAGCAATTATTTTAGAGATTTATAATTGGTACCTGTGTTGATATTTGCTGTTTTCTTACTTTTCTGAGAAACATAAAGGAATGATTTTGTTGATGAGAAATAGATACAGAAAATTTTATCTGAGTTTAATAGTGTTTCCTATCAGGTCCATTTTGTTTCTCAGACTAGAATGGTTTCCAACTAGTATGTGGTGACAGATGTAAAGATATAAAGGATTTCTTTATGTGTCTTTGCCAATGTGGATGATAGGGGAAGAACAGCAAGTGGGACCAAATCAAACCTGACCTGAAGGTGCAGTTAGGGCTGGGGAATTGCAACTCTGAATGAAAAGGACTTACTGGTATAATAAAGTAAAATAAGGTATGGTAGGGAGTTAAGCACTTTTTCTTTAAATTTTTTTTTTAACTTTAAAATTAAATTTTTGGGGTGACATTGGTGACTAAAATTACAGGTTTCAGGTATATAATTCTATAATACACCATCTATATAGTGTTTTGTTTTTTTTTCTTTTAAGACTCAACCAGTTTTTATTTTGCCAAAATTTAATAAATTACTTGAAATCAGAATCATTTTTTTCTTTCACATATTAATGCTGGTGAATCCTGTTTTAGAGATTGCCTTTCATCTCAAAATAACTATAAAAGCTTTCACATCTCACTCTTTTCCCCAGCATATCAGAACATAATATAAGATAGTAATATAATATTTAGGTATGTGTATAGTTTCTATGTATATTAACAGTTTTTAACTGTTTTAAAAATAAATCTTAATAAAGTTATGTCTATATACTTAATTCATTTTTCCTTGTAAAGTATTATACAGAAAAGTAACTCGGAAGCCCCCTCCTCCATGTGTCCTATTCTCATTGAAGTCCTCCCCTTCTCATTTTTATAATTACCAATTTGACTTCTTGAACATCATTTCCTTGCTTTCTCTTTATAGATTTATCTCTGTGTATGCATCCCTAAGTGATATACTTTAATTTTGCTTGTGTTTGAACTTTGTGTATATGTAATTTTATTTTTTGTGTTTTGATTTTTTCTTTTAACATTATGCTGGAGAATCATCCATATGCTAGGTAGTTGATATTCTGCTGATGAACATTTGGATTATATCCTGTTTTTGGCTATTTTGAACAAAAGGACATTTTTGTACTTTTCTGTTGTACTTGGGTATTCTTTAGAATATATATCACAGAGTTGACTTGTCATACAGTATGTTAAGTTTCCACTTTACCGGATACTTTTTCCCCCCAAAGTGGTTTCCCAATTTACAGATAACCAGTTTGTGAGAGTTCCTGTTGCTCCACATCTTCATGAATACTTAAATATATTTCCAAATAGTTAATGGAAGAAATTGGCTTTTAGAAAAAACCTATTAAATTCTTCTGACTTGATTTCTGCTTTAGAGAAGTCACTTCCTAGAGGTAAAGTAATAGAATAGTTCTTGGATTGGGCAGGCAACATCTTAAATGTTTCACATGAATTTTCTCACAATCTTAAGAGAAATCCAAAGCAAGAGGTACTTATTCCATTTTATTTTTTAATTTGATATTTTAGAGAAAGGGGAAAGAAGATAAACACTGATATGAGAAACACTGATTGGTTGCTTCCCGCATGGGGATCCATTGGTAACCTGGGTATGTGCCCTGACCTAAATAGAAACCATGAATGACCCTTTAGTGCTGAACTACAGTGGCCAGAGGCAAACCAATGTTCAGAGATAACTTCACTGGAGTCTTTTACTAGAAATGACTTTTTAAAAACACAAATTCTGGTGTTTGTCCCTAAAGTCTAAGCTAATGATCATCATGCTTTATTTCTTGTTCCCTCTTTCAAATATTGTGGCTCTGAAAACTGATCCGTGAAGAATGGAAAAGATAACCTTTATGATCTTAGGCAGAACTTTGAGAGGATATATTTACACACCTACACACAAAATGTTGAAAATGGGTCTTCAGCAAGAGGTAGCTGATCGATGTTTCTCTCTCATCGATGTTTCTAACTCTCTTCCTCTCTGTAAAAACTCAAAAAATATATATATTTAAAAAAAGAAAGAAAATGGGCCCTCAATTCTTCATGATCTCTCCAAAATAACTTGCTTTCCAGAATGTCTGAGCCATAACCATTCTAAGATTTTGTCCAATACTCTAAAAAGATGTGTGCTAATAATACCGTATTATGTTGTAAACTTAGTTTGAGCAAGCCTAACGACCAACGGAAAACAAAACCCTTATCAACATCAGCCATTATCGGGTCTTAGAAAAGTAAATGTCGCAGCCTGAACTCTCTAAAAGGTCATTTTAATTCTGACCATCCCATTAAAAAATTACCGTGAATAACGTAATGATCATAAATGTATTGAGCTGTGGTAATTGCTGTAAGCAATAGTAAAATGTACCTAGATGTGATACACAGCCCCCGGGGAGCTTAAAATTCAATGGAAAGGACATACCTATGGTGGCTCCACAGTAAGCAATTAGTGACCAATGGGGCCCATCTATGCATTAATGAGATAGAGATGCAAAGAAGGATGGATTTGGAAATAACGTTAGTGATCTGGTGGAAACAAGCCTCTGCAGATGGCCGGCTGCCCCGATAGTGGTCTGTTTTTCTTATCAATGGGCCAGTTTGTTGGGAAACTTGCATGCAAAATGTAGTATAAAAGCAGTCACTGGAGTCCAGGCAACACGAAGCCCTGCTGCCTAATGAAGGGGCTGGACGGAAGGAGGTCTGCCCTGGACCCTGGTTATGTGAACGGTCAGACTGGCTTTGCCAACCAGTAGTAACTGCTGGCAATAGGCAAGGCGGTGGTCCACCCGCGAAGCTGTGATTTCTCTGCCCTGATCTCAGGATATCCTCCTTCCGACAAGGGCTTGGTGGGGCTCTTCCACAAACTAGTCATTACAAGAAACGTCGATACGAAGCCGCCTGAAATTGTTTGCTAAAAGGTGGCTTCGACTTCCGTACCTTCCCCGAGGGCGGGGCGTGCGCCTCGGGCTTGGCCACGCCCTGGGCTTCCGGATCTGGGTACAAACAACTCCACCTACAACACCATCCCCACGGTTCGGCCTCCACGAGCTATTTCTGCTCACTCCCTCCGCGGGTATCCGGGCCCTCTAACCGGAAGTCCGAGCAGCCCAAGCCTCACCTCCGAGTCGGATCCCGTGAGAGGTTTAGGTGAGGTCTCGCGACGCGTGTTTAAATCTCAGGAAGAAGAGCTGCGAGAGGGTTAACCGTGCCGCCCCAGTCCTTACGTCACCGCGGAGCCACGCCCTTGGGCGCGCGTTTCTGTGCGCGCGCGCGCGGCGCATGCGCACTCGCCCTCCCCCCCCCCCTCCGAGCTAGCTCCTCTGGCCAGTCGCGCGTGGGCTGAGACCCTGGGCGGGCGTTGCGAAGGCTTGTTTGTTGGAGCCGGATGCCCGCCGCGGTCCGGAGTTGTTTCCTCGCCGGGGACGGGGTTCAGACCCCCTGCCTAGGGTGAATGGGCTGTCGCGAACGCTGCTGAGGGCTGGCTGGGAGCTCGGGCCGGGGCCGGGGGCCGGGGCCGCGACCATGAACTCACCCGTGGACCCCGGCGCTAGGCAGGCGCTGAAGAAGAAGCCGCCGGAGCGGACCCCGGAGGTAAGGCCGGCGGACCCGGCGCGCGTCCCGCTGTCCCGCGGGCGGCGTCCCGCTGTCAGACCTGAAGGCTCACACCTGCTGCCGGGCAAAGTCTGTCCTCCGCGTCCCCGACCCCGGCCTGCTCTCGGGCGGGCGGGTGGCGACCACCTTTCCTCTCCTGCTAGCCTTGCCGCCTTCCCCGCCCACCTCCCCGCCCGGGACTTCCTGGTGTTTTCCATTAGAAAGCATCATTCACTCAATCTTACTTTCTCAGGGTGAAACTGTAGGTTTCTGAGTGATATTCACTCGTAGGTAAGTAGACTGCAAAACGAGATAGGAATTGTAAGTGAAGTGTAACAGCCGTGTCATTAAGAGATAACATCTCTTGAAGGGTGCCTGAAATACTGTACGAGTGTTTTAAAAGCGCTGCATCCATCCGGTGGCGGATTCTGGTGGAGGATGATGCATATTTAGAGATCAGTTATGAAGGTACTTTCTCGCACTCATTGGGAAATTTTACAATATTTTGTGCTTGGATTCAAACTTTCTGTATTGGGTTAGCTTAAATGATTTTAATTTTTTAGCCTTAAGGCTAAAAATACATAGCTAAAACCTGTTAACCTGATAGAGTGCTTAGGTTTGTGGGTTTTTTGGGGGCAGGTTTTCCTTGATTTGGAGAAGTTTCTGTAACAAGTTGTATATTTCCTAAATCAGAAAGCAAAAACTAAAAACAATGTGAAGGATTGTTGGATTGTCTTTTGCACAGTTGCAATAAATGAAGTGGAAGCTTTGGTTAATTCTTCCTAAGTCACTTTTGAGTTTTTCAAGGTTTCTCAGTAACTTTGGGCTGATCTTTCGTAGCATAACATTCTTCAAGCCATAATTGTAGTTAGGACCAGTAGAACTTCGTTGTTGGAGATCCCAATCTGCGTAGAAACAGGCAAACACTGTCATTCTCCAGAGTTCTTTTTTGAAATCTGCTTTTATAATCCAAAATGCTTTAATTTCCCTAATATTCTTAAAGTAATTGTGAGCTAATTGAAAGCATTCACCTTGGACAGGTGAATCTGCCATAATTTTTATATTATTAGAAAATGTTATGCAAGGCTTGCAATATTTACTGTCAGTTTTTTAAATACTATTTATGATACTTTCACATTTCAATGGGAACATCCTATTTTTCTCTATTTATTTATTTATTTATTTATTTATTTATTTATTTATTTAAATATATTTTATTGATTTTCTACAGAGAGGAAGGGAGAGAGATAGAGAGTTCAGAAACATCGATGAGAGAGAGTCATCGATCAGCTGCCTCTTACACACCCCCCACTGAGGATGTGCCCGCAACCAAGGTACATGCCCTTGACCGGAATCAAACCCGGGACCTTTCAGTCCCCAAGCCGACGCTCTATCCATTGAGCCAAACCGGTTTCAGCCTACTTTTCTCTTTTTAAAAATACGTTTTTATTCAGAGAGGAAAGGAGAGGGAGAAGGATAAAAACTTCAGTAATGAGAGAGAAGTATTGATCACCTGCCTCCCCCATGCCCTCTGCTGGGGAACTAGCCCGCAACCTGGGCATGTGCCCTCATCTGAATCAAACTGTGACCATTAAGCCACACCGGCCTGGCTCCTACTTCTCTTTACTAGCGGAATTACCTAATTTGAAATTGCCTGTTTTTGAGCCTTACAAAATTTTCTAAACTGTTCACAAAATTATGTTGGCCATTATGTGCCTTTGTTAAGTACTTTATCTTGTTTTACTGGAAAAGCAGCGTGGTGTTTGCTCAGTCCCTTACCGCGGGTATCCGGGCCTTCCTTCAGAGCAGCCAAGCCTCACCTCTGAGGCGGAGCCCGTGAGAGGATTTAGTATTTAAGGGAATACTAAACGACTGCCCACAATACACAGACTAAAGCATTTACATCTAGCAGCATAGCTTGTTAGCTGCTTAATTAATTGGAAGTGCTTTTACAGGGGTATAGAATTTGGGGTACAAAAGTATAAATAAAGCCAGTGTGGTTCAGTGGTTGAGCGTAGGCCTATGTACCAGGAGGTCACAATTCAAACCAGGAGGTTACTACCCTGGCCGGTTTGGCTCAGTGGATAGAGTGTTGGCCTGCGGACTAAAGAGTCCCGGGTTTGATTCCCGGGCACATGTCCAGGTTGTAGGCTCTGTCTCCAGTGGGCGGAGGGCGTGCAGGAAGCAGCCAATCAGTGATTCTCATCATTGTTGTTTCTCTTTCCCTCTCCCTCTCCCTTTTCCTCTCTCCTTGACCGGAATCGAACCCAGGACCCTTTAGTCCACAGGCCGACGCTCTATCCACTGAGCCAAACTGGCTAGGGCTGGGTTGCAGTTTAAATAAGATGGTCAATATTGTGCTGGTACAGATAACTCTTAAAGGCTTGATGCACATGATGGAGTTAGCCATGGGGCTATCTGGGGAAGAGCTTTCCGAGTAGAATAGTTATTGCAGAGGCCCTAATGAGAACATGTCTGGCGCATTCAAGGCAAAGCAAGGAGCTCTGAGTATAAAGGAGTGAATAAGGGTGATAGTAGTGAGAGATGAAGTCAGAGAGGTGATGTGGTGGTATAGGATGAAACATATCATGTAGGACTTTCTAAATCATTGTAAGTTCTTTGACTTTTTATTTTGAGTGAGAGGGGACTGCCAAAAGTTTTGAAGCAGAAAAGTGACATTATCCTACTTTTAAAAGAGTTTCCTGGCTGCTTGCTGGTTTGACGATTGCGCTAGCATAATTTGTCATGGATTGGGTATGTGATTTGAGGGAAGGTGAAGAGTTGAGCATGGTTTCAGTGTTTTTGGCCTGAATAACTGGAGTATTGGAATTACCATTAAAGCGTGTTGGAACTGCCATCAGGTGGATAGGGAAAGCTGCAGGAGGAGTAGGGGCTGGGGGTATCCAGAAAATAAGTTTTGAACATGCCATGTTTGAAATGTCTATTAGAATTGTTGAGGAAAGAGTTGCATATAAATTTCTATTTCGAGAGAGAGTGTTTGACTGGAGATAGAAATATTATAGTAATTAGCCTAAAGATATTAAAATCATGAGGCTAAATGAAATTGCCAAGGTAGTGAATAACATAGAGAATAGAAGAGGACCAAAGACAGTGCTGGGGCACTTGATCATTATCCTATACTAGAGGCCTGGTGCATGAAGTTCGTGCGGGGAGGTCCCCTCAGCCCAGCCTGCACCCTCTCCAATCTGGGACCCCTTGGGGGGACATCCCTCTCACAATCCAGGACTACGAGCTTCTAATTGCTTACCTGCCTGCCTACCTGCCTGATTGCCCCTAACTGCTCCCCCACCCCCCGCCTGCCTGGTCACCACCAACTCCCCCACCCCCCAGCTGGCCTGGTCACTCCCAACTGCCCCGTCCCCCCACCATCCTAGTTGCCCCCAACTGCCCCCTTCTGCTGGCCTGGTCACCCCACACAGCCACACAGCCTGCTATTCAATTGTTTGATTGTCCCTCACTGGTCACCCCATGCAGCCTGCTGTTCAGACCTCCACCAGTTTTTTTGGTTGTGATGGCCCTGGCTTTTTATATATTAGGATACTAAAAGCCTAATATGCAAACCAACTGTATGGCGGAACGACAGGTGGAATGATTGGTCACTGTGACGTGCACTGACCACCAGGGGGTAGACTCTCAACACAGGAGCTGCCTGCAGGCCCCAGGCCAGCCAAGGCCAGTGCCAGCGGGGGCCCCTCCAATTGCCCCGCAGAGGGAGGTGACCTGTAGTGGGGGGTGGGGCCTGCTGGTGGTGGCAAGGGTCACGGCCAGCTAGTAGGCAGTGCCAGGCTAGCCAAGGAGGGTGCCAGCGGGGGCCCCCTGATTGCCCCGCAGAGGGAGGTGACCTGCAGTTGGGGGGGAGGGGTGACCGATGGTGGCAGGGGTCAGGACCAGCGAGTAGGTGGCACCAGGCTGGCCAAGGAGGGTGCCAGCGGGGGCCTCCCCGATTGCCCTGCCAATTGGCCCTGATCGCCAGCCAGGCCTAGGGACCCTACCTGTGCACGAATTTCATGTACCAGGCCTCTAGTAAAGGAGAAAAGAGCAGAAACCTGCAAAGAACAAGGATGGAAGCCAGCGGTGCAGTAGAAGAAGAAAGAGAGAGAAAGAGAGAGAGAGAGAGGGGTAGTGTCCTTGGAAGCTAAGCAAATAAAGTGTATAATAGATGGGCATACAGTTCCTTCATTTATCTTATTGTTCCTTGAATACCTATCAGGTGCAAAGAATTATGAAAAAATATATACAAGTAGATAAGAATCAGTGTTTTAAAATCTTGTAATTAGGTGCTTGTATCACATCATTAATGAGTAAAGAATTCTTTTTTTTTTTTTGGGGGGAGACAAAATTAACGGTTCCTTTATTTTGAACCATCTGTTGTCCTTATGTGAAACCATCAACTCAAGCATAATTCTAGTAAGCTAGACGCTGAGTGTAGAAACATGTTGAAAGTATGCCATTTAGAGCTGTGCTCTAACAGTTTGTACTTTCCTGGCCATTTCTCCTACTTTGCAGCTTCAGCCTCCACAGCACACTGCCTTTCTTGAGCTAGCTCTGTGATTTCCTTTTCCACTTAGCAAAGTTTTTTTTTGTTTTTGTTTTTAGTGGAAAGGTTTAGACTTAAATACTCTGTGGGAAGTTTAGGACTCTAAAACAACGAAAACTATTAAGGTATTCATTTTCAAAATTGAATATTTTGAAAATGAATATTCATTTCAACTCAAAATTCAACACTGTTCTTTTTCTATACACCCTTTTTCCCCAATCAGAGTGAGCTCCTTATCATTCTCTTGTGGTTTAGTTCCCTTCTGAGTGCTTAATACCATGTTTTACACATAATAAATGATCAATAAATATGTTAAACAAGCTCAGCCAGTGTGTCACAGTGGCTGAACATCGACCCATGAACCTAGAGTTCCCTGGTTCAGTTTCCACTAAGGGCCCATGCCCGGGTTGTGGGCTTGAGGTAGCTAATAGATATTTCTCAG